CAATGTCCCCAGAGTCAGTACCCAGAAACCCAAGACAAATGAGGGCATTTGGAAGAGTGTTAAGAGTCATAATAATGATACTATGCTGCTATAAAAAAGAAGGTATTCTTACCATTTGCAGCAGCATGGATGGATTTGGAGAGCATTGTGTTAAGTGAAATAAGCCAGGCAATGAAAGAAAAATACCACATGATCTCACTTATTTATGGAAAATAAAGAACATTATAACCTAATAAACAAAAAGATAAATACAGAGGCAGTAAAGCACCGAACAGACTAATGGAAAGCAGGAGAGTGTTGGGGAGAGGGGGAAAGAGATCAACCAAAGGACTTGTATGCATGCATATAAGCACAACAAATGGATACATGACTGGGGGGGTGGGATGAGGGCATGCAACAAGAGGTAGAGGCTGGGGGAAGGTCAAAGGGGGAGGGAAAGAGATATATGTACTACTACATGTAATACTTTAAACAATAATATATATATATATATATATATATATATATATATATATACACACACACACATATATATTTAAAAAGTCACAATGTGAATGATTGCCTTTTTTAAAAATGAGCTTCTCCTGTACTTTTTAATATAAATATTTTATTGATTTTTTTTTTTTTTTGACAGAGAGGAAGAGAGGGATGGAGAGCTAGAAATATCGATGAGAGAGAACCATCGATCAGCTGCCTCTTGCACACCCCTCACTGAGCATGTGCCCACAACCAAGGTACATGCCCTTGACCGGAATAGAACCTGGGACCCTTCAGTCCGCAGGCCGATGTTCTATCTACTGAGCCAAACCAGTTTCAACTGCCTGCTTTATTTTTTAAATCCTCACCCAAGGACATGCTTAGAGAAAGGAAGGGGAGAGAAACAGAGGGAAAGAAACATCAATTGATTGCCTACTGTACAAGTCCCAACCAGGGACCTAACCCGCAACCTCTATACGCCCTGACCAGGAATTGAACTAGCAACCTTTCAGTGCTCAACAAACTAAGCCACTTTGGCTAGGCTGTTTTCATTTAATTGTTATCATTTTTAAGTATGTTTTAATTGATTTTTAGAGAAAAAGGGAGAGATAGAAACATCATCATGGATCAGCTGCTTCCTGCATGCCCCCTACCATGGATCAAGCCCCCTCCCCAAGCATGTGTCCTGACCGGGAAGTGAACCAGAAACCTCTTGGTTCATGAGCCACACAGGCCAGGCAGATTATTTTCATTATAAATGGGGAAGTTATGGGAAATTATTCCAGGCTATTCTGGAGAGAAAAAAAAAAAATTAAAGTGAGCTTTTACCCAAGTTTCCCGATTCCTTTTTGACTGATAGTAATAGAAAGTATAAAGTGGAAGACTAGGATATGTAAAATTAAATACCTAAATGTCATTTTCCTTTAATATTTTAACCTATTTCTTCCCCTGTAAAATTAGAATAATACTTATTTTATAACATTGCTTAAAAATTAATATATTGGGAAAGGGCTTTGTAAACTATTAAGGAATAAACAGTAGAAATTATTACCAATTAACAGTATTTTTTGTGTGTGTGTGTGTGAGAGAGAGAGATTGAGGGTTTACTTAAAGGAACACCAGGTTCCATGACAACAGTAAACTTTACCTATGGATTCAGTCCTCCTGGAATCTAGTAAACTCCATTTGCTATTCAGCTGAAAAACATTTTCAGCTTTCCTAGTCTAATCCTTAAATGCCATCATTTATGGCAATAGAAATTCCTGAGCTAAACAGAACAAAGAAGCTAAGATAAGTAGCCAGATTGTCCTGAGCAGGAACCCAGAAGCCCATACTTGCCCAATGCAGCTGCCACAACCAGAAGTGCTTTCTTCTTGTATTCTCCCACATTACTCTCCTGTATTCAAAGAAACTAATAGGAAGCCAGCAGAGAAAGGGAGTCTGGGAAATACAGTTTGCAGAATTTAGACCCTTAGATTTCAGAATAAACAAAAGACTAAGAGACAAATACACAGTTCCCTACAGTGTTTCCCTGAAAATAAGACCTACTTACAGGTTTCCTTCTGAGTGAAATATAAAGCATCCCCTGAAAATAAGGCCCCCCTAGGCTCTGTCTCAGAATGCTACTGCTAAACAGGAGAGATTTGGTCCACTGATTCTGAAAGAAACGGAGTCACAAGACATTCACCAGGAAATTCAGGAATTGGATTGTTATGATGATGTTCCAGAAGATGATGACATGATTGTCATTGAATAAATGAGTAAATTCTTGATACTGTAGGATTCACAGTTTGTCTGGTTTATGTTTGACAACTACAGTACTACTGTACCATATACAGGTAATAAATTTCCTTTATTTTCATTTAACAATAAATGTGTACCGTATTCTTCTTCATGGAAAAATAAGACATTCCCTGAAAATAAGACCTAGCGCATCTTTGGGAGCAAAAATTAATATAAGACACTTTCTTATTTTGGGGGAAACAGGGTATTAGTAACAGTAAAATAGAATTGCTAGCTAAAGCTTCAACTAGGCTCATCAATTTAAGTAATACGTTTACTTCAGATCCAGGGTAACTGTGTAACTCAGCCCTTGTACTGCATGAAATGGAGAAATCTACCAGGCTGGATCATAGCCTTCTCCCAAGAGGCAATCATGTTCCTGCCTCTGACAGATACAAAAGACACCAGGAACTGTTACAGCAAATTCTTTATTTTCATATTAACATTAAAATAGAAAACACAAACATTAAAACATATTAACAGAGATCTCATTGCTCTGTTTTGAAAGCAGGTATAAGGATATATAAAACAAGATGTTTTGAGTTTGCTTAACTCCAAATTCTCAAATGGGAAAATAACCTGAGAGACAGGAATGAAGAAACATGGCAGGGCTTGGTGCTATACAGGACATCAGAGCCTGGATCTACAAATGCAATCTTCTGCCAGATGCGGGGGTGCAGGGAGGCTAAAGATGAGGTTTTCTTTTGGAGAAATCAGTCACATGAATTTGTTTCTAAAACATACAAATTTACTGAAGGAATCCAAGGACTGGCAAGAGGTGAGATTCACCCAACCACGCTAGTAGTAAGTCCCTTGGTTCCTATGCTTAGGCCAATCAATCAGCATCCTTTGAGTGTACTTCAAGGCTAGTCAAACCCTAACCCTGTCCAAGACAAAAGGCAGACAGGGCCTGACCACCTGCATCCCTCTCTGTGACAATCTACTGAAACCAGATATGTTCTGCTTTTTAATTCAAATCCCAATCTGCCCCCAAAGCTTTAGGCCTGGGCAATCAAATCATCAACATATCAAAAGGAATATAACCTCTGAGGAAAGGGGGCTCTTTCCCAGATCCTGGAAACTTTTTTTTTTTTTTTTTTTTTTTTAAGTAAACAGGAAGATGCCATTTTTAAAAGGCACAAGTAGAACTTGAAACTCTGGGGAAATCTGCAATAACCCCTTCCTGGTGAGAAATGCTGGAAAAGGCTCAGGAGTTGACAGGTCATAACTATTTTGAAATATTTACGTTTTTACAACAATTATTTTAAGAAAAATCACACTCCTGAGCCCTCTACTGGAGAAAAGTGCAGGGTCCAAATCTGGGCAATCCAGAGTTAAAATGAATTACTATTTCCCTCAACACTTAGAAAAGTTTAGGAATGGAGGCAAATCAAAGAAACTTGGGCCCTGGCCAGTGTAGCTCAGTTGGTTGGGTGTCATCCTGTGCATGGAAGAATGGCAGGCTCCATTGCTGGTCATAACATATAGCCAGGGTGTGGCTCGATTCCCAGAAGGGGGCCTGCAGGAGGAAGCTGATCAATGTTTCACTCTTACATAGATGTTTCTCTCGCTCTCAACCAATAAAAATGTTTAATATATACATATATATACACATATATGTATATATATAAATGAATGAAACTTGGATTTAGACATTTTCACATGGGAAAGGATTTATATGAGAATTCTAAACATGCTCAATAACTGCCTCTCACTCTGAAGGGGTAGCTTTATTCAGATGGGAATTTTCAGAACTGAAGTGACAGGCCCTTCTCCCATTTTCAGCAGCAGTCTGAGCAGCTTCTCTTTTGTAAGTCTCTTTTGCAAAGTTAGCCCATTGTTCCTAATATGATACTAAGAGATTTAAAAGCTTTAACATATTGCTTGCTCATCTTTCCCTAATGAGGGAAAAGGAGTGGTCTTCAAAGCAATGGCTTATATAAAACTATCCCTGAGATTTTAGGCTGGCTACAAAAATGTCTTCCCCACTGCTCAAACAACTGGCCTCTTTCCTTGGCTCTCACAATGCAATGAGCTTAATGCCTTCAGCATTAGGAAAATTGTCAATAACTCATTAAAGCTGCTTCCATCATAGGCTTGCCCATATTCTAGCAACTGCACAACTGGAACTTAACTGTGGCTGCCACAAAGTAACCAGATGTGCTTTACCACACACTTCTATGGGGATTGAGACCGAGAGACTAAAATGTCAGCCCACGCGGTCAGAAATAGATAAAATCCTACACAAGGTTCTAGAATGCCCTCTTGTGTTCAACTGAAAAATTCTGCATCCACTTGCATCCAACCAGCCTCAAATGGTTAGTCCCTTTAGGGACATAAGCATTTCCAAACCAAATAGCCCATGTGACAAGACCACTCAAACAGGGCCTAGAAGATGGTTGGTGCACAATCATATCCTAAATGACTGCTGGGAAGATACTCTCTGTGGTCCAGCAAACAGTCTGAATGAAAGTTATCGTTTCTCCACAAAGATTCATGAAGGCTTTTAATCCAAGAAATGGTCAATGTAGACAGTAACAGTCACTTACGCTTTTGATGGACATAATACACAATCTGTAATTTTAGTGACCTGGAGTCTTAGAGTCATACTAAATCAAAGGAATCATGTTCCCAAAAGTTCTAGGCCAGACAATAAGCAGGGATCTTGCTCAAGGCTAGATGCTAGCAAACAACGTTGAACATTAACCAGTGGCAATGCCTTGTAAGTTTCAAGACCATGGTCACTCCCACTTATAGATTTGAACCATCTTCTCTGTTAAGGTAGCCACGTGGCTGCTATGATTCACCTCAAATGGACAGATGTCCAAGACAGGCTGATCAGTCGCCAGACCCTGCAGCAAGGAGCCACTGCTAGCATCCCATACCTAAAAGAGACAAATAAAGATAAAAGGTAAAAAGTCATTCCATTAAGCTAGGAAACTTTCTTTCTCATCCACTTTGAAAGAGATGCAGAGAGCACTGCCTGGGTAGCAAAGCTCTCATCAGGTTGCAATCAGCACATTGACATGATTCAGTATGATCACCTACTATAATCAGTAATTAGTTTATCTGTGAGCAAATCTGAAAATCAAGACTTGTTAGCATTTATCTCTTGAATACATGCGTTGGGCAGTCTTCTAGGAATAGTAGGGACAATATGACAAAATCCTTGTTCCTGTCTTCATGGAACCTATCATCTTCTAATTGGTACTTTCTTTCTCTTTTACTGTGAAATTTTTTATTGTGAAATAAAAAATTTAAAGTATTAAAACCCATACACAGCTGATTAAGCTTTTACTACATCTGCTTTATCAATCCTTTTTTTTTCTTTTTCTTTTCTGATTTAATGTCCTTTTAACTTTAAATTCTTAGGTAAAGCTTGGATTCAAGTTCAAAAACATCTCATAGCAGGCACCCCCTGCTTCATATTGCTTTACTCAAGAAGGATATTATCTGGTAAGCTCACCTACCTAAAGTTAATTGTTATGTTTAAGTGGTAATAGGCAGACTCCTCCCCCTATTGTGAAATTTCCCACCAACCTCTCATCTATTGATAAAGCTAAAGATGCCTGAATCTTTATTTTATAGAGGTTTCAGCAGTGTTGTTTTCTTTTTATTAAGATTCAAATTACAGCCCATGGAACACTTTAGCTGATGTAAAAAGAATGAAGTGAATCTACAGATAATGAAATGAAAAGAGAGCCAAGATAGGAAGTTAAATGGGAAAAGAGCAAACCATAGAAAGCAGTAGTAAAGTGTGACTTATAAGAAAAATAAACTGCCGAAACCAGTTTGGCTCAGTGGATAGGGTGTTGGTCTGTGAACTGAAAGGTCCCAGGTTCGATTCCGGTCAAGGGCATGTACATTGGTTGCAGGCACATCCCCGGTGGGGGGAGTGCAGGAGGCAGCTGGTCGATGTTTCTCATCGATGTTTCTGGCTCTCTATCCCTCTTCCTTCCTCTCTATAAAAAAAATCAATAATGCCGAAACTGGTTTGGCTCAGTGGATAGAGCGTCGGGCTGCGGACTGAAGGGTCACGGGTTCAATTCCGGTCAAGGGCATGTGCCTTGGTTGCGGGCACAATCCCAGTGGGGGTGTGCACGAGACAGCTGATCAATGTTTCTCTCTCATGGATGTTTCTGACCCTCTATCCCTCTCTCTTCCTCTCTGTAAAAAATCAATAAAATATATTAAAATAAATAAATAAACTGAACAAACATACGTACTCACTCACACTTATGCAGATGTATATAATCATGAAGGAGAACTTTGGCTTTTTGCTTTATATATTATATTTCTCAATAAAAATATAAAAGGCTCACCAGGGCAGAATATGATGCTTCATCCCCAATACACACTAGGATGCTGCCACTCTTCTCTGGGTTTTGGAAAAGAGCACTTTTGGTCAGTAGTTTGCAAGTGCGTCCCCCAAGGAATGTCTGTACAGGATGGCAAGAGCAGACTGGCTCTCCAGCGTCATCCAGCTTGTAGGACATCTCCATCAGAACACTGCGTAAAGTGTTGTGATTTTTATCTACGGGATAGAAAAATGCATTGCTCCATGAAGATGGTCCAAATAAATTAACCAAGCATCTCAGCTACAACATAGTTGAGTGAAAAAGCCTCATTTTTATTAAACCATCAAGCATAGCTAACAAAGCAAATATAATAACAAGCCTTATGTGGGTTTATCAGTGGTTAGTGCTCTGGCCAGTGGACTGAAGGGTTGCATTCTGGTCAAGGGCACTTACCTTGGTTGCAGGTTCGATCACTGGCCCTGGTGGGGGCACATGTGGGAGGCAACCAATTGATGTGTCACTCTCACATTGATGTTTCTCTCCCTTTCCTTCTCCCTCTTCCTTCCACTCTCTCTAAAATTCAATGTGGGGGGGGGGGGGGGGAAACAACTTCTGGTGAGGATTAATAACAACAACAACAAAAAAAACCAACAAAACAATACACACAGAGAGAAATACAGAAATAGTCGTTCTTAAAAAAAACACACACAGAGTAATAACAAAAATAATACAGCACAAATGAAATTCAGAACCCTAGTCTAGGATGAAGCAGGTTATCTACAACAGGTTTTGCCTATGAGGGAAACAATTTAAGAATGGACTATCAGCCGAAACCGGTTTGGCTCAGTGGATAGAGCGTTGGCCTGAGGACTCAAGGGTCCCAGAGGTTCTATTCCAGTCAAGGGCATGTACCTTGATTAAGGCACATCCCCTGTAGAGGGTGTGCAAAAGGCAGCTGATCAATGATTCTTTCTCTCTCATCGATGTTTCTAACTCTCTATCCCTCTCTCTTCCTCTCTGTAATAAATCAATAAAATGTATTTTAAAAAAGAAAAAAAGAATGGAATATCTATCCTTTTTAGTACAATCACTGTATCCTGCAGACCTCTGCTTGGGCTTTTAATCTTCCTTAACAGTTCTAACCAAATTTTTCTTCCCTTTCTCCAGTGAGGACTCTATTAGCCCCAGAACTGAACATTTTTATAAATGTGTTACTATAGAAGGGGAAACATGTATCTACGGCACTGCTGGGAGGCAAATGAAAACTAGAGAACAAAACAGAGGCACCAAGTTTTCTTGGAGACAGAGACCTATGAGATACTAAGAACAAAAAGGGTCAGAAGACTCTGCTGAAGCAACTCTACAGCTCCAACAAAATTGTAAATGATTACATAGCCACTAATAGCAGAAGTATAGCACTTTAATGACTATCTCTGATGAAACATCTGCCTAACCATCAGTACAGCTCATCAAGACATAGATTCATACCTTTCAGGCTAAAAAGAACCTATGAATTTAAATAGAGTTGGTTGTCAGAGGTTCCAACTTGGTTCTGGAGGCAGTGAGAAGTTCAGTTAGGTAGGCCCACACAACAATGGTTGTCCTTCTATTTTCCACTTAACTTTGTTGGTCCCAAATAAGGAACAGCTAAGGCCCTAGTCAGAGCCCTATATGACTGCCTTCACCGGGGCCTTTCTGTTAAGTGGAGTGAGGAGCAGGCAGGAGACATAAAACTGATCTGAGAGTGGCTCAATGGCCTCAAAAGCAGGCCTCCTCATCCCATTACTGTTTAAGTCGTAGGGATTCCGAAAGTGGCTGATTTACTTATAGGAAGTACCTAGCAGAATCTGTCCTAGTTCACAGTGAGGAGCAGGAAGGCAGGCTCCACGCAGAAACTTGAAGCTATCATTCTCACTGTGGTAGTAATAGCTGTCAGTCTGTGAGGGGCTTACCAATACTACTTACGGGTAGGGAAAACTCTCCTCCCAAACAAATCACAGGAGGTCCCATGAGGGCATCCTAACACTCACCAGGCCTGTAGGTCACAAGACAGTGTCGGGTGCTGCTTTCTGTCTGAAAGTCTATGCAGCCCCCTGGCTCTATGGGCAGCACGTGAGGCTGATGAGAAGAGCCCGTTTTTCGCTCCCAGAAGGTAGCATTCTCCAAGGTTCCAGCCAGCACTCCACCATATGGAAATACAGCCGAGGCAGCTTTGGGTATATATGACAGGGACACCAGAGGGCATCTGAAGGGAAAAAAAGGAAACCATGCCTCACATTCTAATACTTGCACTATTCTAGACCCCATTATCAGGAGCCCTCCCTTGAGCACATTTCTATCTCTATAAAAGAGATTAAAAACATCTGAGTCACTATCTGACATCTGATAAAAATGACCAATCCACTCTGTAGAAATAAAAGGCCATTCATCCATATAATATTCTACATCCAATTTCAGAAGACAACACATGCTCTAAATGCAATGAAAACAAATGGACAAATAAATTAAATAGTAAAGATCACAATTACAAGAAAAGAGTTAGCCACATACATAAAGAAAAATTAGAAAAGAAACACAGCTTATACATCTAAATAAAATAAAGCTAAGTTGTAGTTGACAGACCTCTCGATTAAAATATAGCTTAAAGCCACTAATTTCAATTTAAACAATTATTTTTTTATAGATTTTCTAAATCTCTTTTTGCAAGCATATATCCAGGACTATGTAAAAAATTGTCTCAGAAATATTAGCCTATAGACTATGTCTTTATAAACTTGTTTCTGTTTAAGTTGCCAAAACGATCACTTTGCCTGCCTTATTTCATTTCTGTCATACTGAAGCTAACCAAAGCAAACTCAAACAGAAATAAACAATATTTACAATTATTTCCTTGCCATTTGTTGTATTTTATTATCTATTCTATGTGGTCCTCTACATCGATGGCAGTTACCTTGTTTGCCTAGGGTTGACATTTGTGTAAGTTTACATCAATTATCTTCAGGCCCATATACCACATCACTGAAGCATGATTCTACCCCATCCAAATGAAAAGAAAACCCCAGTGTTGAACCCAGGTTTCAGTAAATACTATAGTGTTATCGTTATATTTATATCATGTTGCTCTCTTTTAATATATATTCAAATTGGAAATGGAAATTCCTTCTTAAGACACTTCTCATTTGGCCCAGGTCATAAACACATCTCCATTTGAAAACTTTGTGTTTCCAGGATTATTATGCCCAAATGGTACTCAACACATTCTGAAAAGCTACCGTCATGCTGATGGCCACCCAGCCTCAGAACTCGAGCCGACCTTACAAACCTCCCAACTCTGTAATTGGATTATAAATGATTAAGTCATAGTAATATGGTATCCTTAGACCAAATTGGTTGAATTGTGCATTAGTGAAGTTTTAAATCACTTTTTATTGAGCTACCTTTTACTATTTTCTTTGTGTGTTAGACATATGGCTGTAAAAGCAAGTGTTTGCTAACCATATTTTATAGATGAAGAACACACAGGCTAAGATGAGATCACTCATATGTAGAGGACCTGTGTGTTGAACATAGATCTGACTTCATTTTGCCATGTTAAATAAAGAGAGAATTAATACAGTAACTGTCTACGAGAAAGATGCTACCTACAAGTGAATGGCTCCCTACCTGGCTTTTTGAGGTACTAATTCCTGGACATAACAACTCGTGTTTCGAAGATCATATACCAGAACTGAACCGTTGACCAGTCCAGCGTAGATATAATTGTTTTCATCAAGACACCAGCAGCAGCTCCAGACAGCACGCCCAGCATTATAAGTCTGGACCACAGTATTTGTCTCCAGGCTGTGAAGTTATAAGAGACTTTTACAACTATGCATTAATATAACTAAAGATGTAAAGATCATCATCTCAATGCTGATCATTTAATACATTCTCCCACCCAACTATTTGAATTTCCAATTTCCTCTAAGGAATGCCCAGATAACACCTTCTATTTCAAAAATATTTTTTTTGGGGGGGGAGGGGATAGGGGAAACATGTGTTCCTCTTAAACTGTAATGAAGTAAGAGTAAATTAAAGGGACACAGACAAGTACATTCCCATCTTATTTCCATTACCTTCTCCATAGTTACCTATTACACAGGTGATCATATACCATGTTGAAATATAAAAATATATTATAATTCAATCATCTACAGAGAATCATTTATAACAATTTGGTATTTAACCCATCTTCATACCAACTTTATAACACTACTAGAAAAAACAACACAACACATACATATGCAAAACATAACAATACATTGAGTTTTGGAGCAAAATTAAGCAGAAGCATTTTTGAAAAGCTCTATCTTCATGTTCTTCAGTTTTAGGTGCAGTAATTAAACAGGAAGCCAACTATCAGATATTTAATAAGAATTAATTTCTAAAAGATAAAGGCACAGATCATTTTCAGATTTGGTTCACAGCACTCACAAAGCATGTAAAAGATAAAATGCAGTAATTGAGCCTAGCCTGTGTTGCTCAGTGGATGAGCAATAATACATGAACCAGGAGGTCATGGTTCAATTCCCAGTCAGGGATCATGCCAAGGTTGTGGCCTCGATCCCCAGTAGGGGGTGTGCAGAAGGCAACCAATTAATGATTCTCATCATTGATATTTCTATTTCTCATCCCCTTCCTTCCATTCTGAAATAAAAAAAGTAAAATGCAGTAACTGAGGGTTATCAATTAGAGAAGTCATCATGGCACCCAAGGAGAGTGAGCTCCCAGTATTCCTGTTAGGCAAAATGATCCAGCAATAAGCAATCTTAAGCTGGTTAGATAACTCAATGGTGTCAGGTATTAAGGCTGCCTCCATATTGTCATTTCATCATCTCAAGGATGTTACTCTTATCTGCATGGCTTAAAATGTATTTTGTAACATTTAGAGAAATGGAACTTTACACATATTGTTTTGAAATATGCTGTGTCACCTTTTAAAAGCAATACAGTTTGAATTAAATAAACCTAGATCTCAGAAGACAATGTCTTAGACTAAAATTTAAAAAAAAAACCCTAAGCTAAGGTCATCATAACATGAATATTAATTTACATGCTATTCAACATTCAACAGCCCAAGTCCTATCTTCCTCCCCAAAGCACTCACCTGGTCAGTTTAACAGTGTTATCTAGGGAAGCAGAGAGAAGTAAGCCTTTGGACTGATTGCCAAAAGCCAGTCCTCGGATCTGCTTGCTATGCATGGCAATATACTGACTGCTTTTCATGTTGGCAGTACTGAACATCTTAACACCAAAGCCTGTCAAAGATAAGGAGAGAGTGAGATACGTCACTGATAGCTTACGGCAAAGCAAACTCTTTCAAGTAGCTCCTTTGCCCACCTTTCTTGACATGTAAGTTCCTGGAAAAAGTTAGTAAAAAAAACAAAAAAAGAAAAAAAACTTCCTGTGGTTTTAATCTATTATAAAAAATATATTCCAGCCGTGGCTGGTCCGGCTCAGTGGATAGAGTGTTGGCCTGTGGACTTAAAGGTCCCAGGTTCAATTCCAGTCAAGGGTATGTACTTGGGTTGCGGGCACATCCCAGTGGGAGGTATACAGAAGGCAGCTGATCAATGTTTTTCTCTAATTAATGTTTCTTTTTTCTCTTTTTTAAAATATATTTTATTGATTTTTTACAGACAGGAAGAGAGAGGGATAGAGTTAGAAACATCGATGAGAGAGTCACTGATCAGCTGCCTTTTGCACACCCTGTGGGGATATGCCCGCAACCAAGGTACATGTCCTTGACCGGAATCAAATCCGGGACCCTTCAATCCGCAGGCCAATGCTCTATTCAATGAGCCAAACCAGTTTCAGCTAGAAAGTTACAAAGATAGAAGTGAGCCAGCTGGGCTGCTTAGGCTCAGTTAACAAGTTACAAGTTACAGAGACAGAAGAAAGGCCTTTGGAGCTTAGGAGAAAGGCCAAGATTACTTGCCTATGGAAGAAGAGGGGGAAGGGAAAGGTACAGGTGAGCTCTAGCCAGTTTGGCTCAGTGGATAGAGTGTTCAGCCTGGGGACTGATGGGTCCCAGGTTCGATTCCAGCCAAGGGCACATGCCTGGGTTGTGGGCCCGATCCCCAATGTGCAGGAGGCAGCTGATCAATGATTCTCGCTCATCATTGATGTTTCTATATCTGTATCCTTCTCCCTCTCCTGAAATTAATAAAGAAACATATTTTTTTTAAAAAGGTGTAGGCGTGTTTCCTCTATTATTATTTTAATTACATATTAACAGAATTTGTCAAAATAGCCTTGAATCACACTTCAGCTTCTCTAGGGAACCAAATAGGAGAAATTTCATTGGTTTTTCCTGAAACAGAATTAGGAGAGCCAGTGAGACAAAGAGGAAAACTATGAGCTTTAAATCAACAAGGGAATATGAATACTTGCCTGGTTAATCAACAAGGGAAACAAAAAGTTAGAACTAGTATGCTATCAAAAAGAGCTAGCTGTGTAGAGTAGAACAGATATATATTAAAATAAAAAAAGGGGAGGACAATTAATATTTTTCTAGCTTGTAGGTAAGATTTTAATTGATGATACACCTTTTTAATTAAAAACCTGGTCCTAGCTGGTTTTGTTCAGTGGATAGACCTTCGAACTACGAACTGAAGGGTCCTGGGTTTAATTTGGGTCAAGGGCACATGCCTGGGTCCCAGGAGGCAGCCAATCCATGATTCACTCTCCCTTCCTCTCTGAAATGAATAAAAAAGATAGTTTAAAAAAAAATATATATATATATTTTTAAAAATATAAAAATCTGGATGGAATATAGGAACACTATAAAAAATCTTTTTACTTTTTTCTCAATTAAAGTCTTCTGATAGTTTCTTAACTCACAGCTAATATCAGTAAATAGAAAAATATACGATAATGTAGGAATTCCACTCCCTAACTTGTATATACTTAAGTTGAGGGATATAGTTTTGATGCATTTGATGGGGAAACAGAAGATATCAGGCTGAAGCAAAGGGACCTGACAGTTGGCAGAAAGCATATGCTGAAGACAGTAGAAACATCTACATTTAGGAATGATTTATCATGTAAAGAGATTTGGTTTTCAACATTAAGACAACATAAAATTAAGCTTAAAAAGCACAAACGACCCAGCTGGCATGGCTCAAGTGATTGAGCATAGACCAATGAATCAGGAGGTCATAGTTCCGATTCCTGATCAGGGAATATGCCCAGGTTGTAGGCTCAATCCCCAGTGTGGGGCGTGTAGGAAGCAGCCAATCAACGATTCTCTCTCATTTCTGATGTTTCTATTTCTCCTCCTCTCCCTTCCTCTCTGGAACCATTAAAAATGTATTTTTTTAAAAAGCACAAAAACGTGAAAATTAGTATTTTTAATATATATATATATTTTTTATTGATTTTTAAATTTTATTTATTTACTTATTTTTGCAGAGAGGAAGGGAGAGGGATAGTTTGAAACATCGATGAGAGAGAAACATTGATCAGCTACCTCCAGCACCCCCTCTTCTACTCGGGATATGCCCACAACATGCCCTTGACCGGAATCGAACCTGGAACCCTTCAGTCTGCAGGCCAATGAGCCAAGCCAGTCAGGGCAAAATTAGTATAGTATTAATAAAATAATAAATGTATTCCAAAATTCCTTTATTTGGAATTTGGAATTTCTTCCCCTAAAATAAACTTAGGTTAAGTTCAATGAGTTTAAAAAAAAAATACATTTTTTATTGGTTACAGTGAGGAAGGGGGAGAGAGAGATAGAATCATTGATTGAGCCCACAACCCAGGGAAGTGGCCTGATTGGGAATCAAACCATGATTTGATTCATAGGTTGACTCTCATTTACTGAGCCACACCAACCAGGCAGGAATCTGTCAATTTGAATAATTTTAAAAATAAGTATTAAAATCTTAATTTGAATTAGTCCTCAGAATAGTGTTTTTGCTTTCCCCCCTAAAATGTTTCCAATCTAAAATGCACTTATAACTTCAGTGGGACATATAGTCCTTCTTGGACTGTACCAGTAATGCACATTTCCAAGTACCTCATCTTCTCTTACTTTATCATGGATTTTCGGTATTTCTGCTCTCTTGGTGAATTAATTTACAGAAGGAAGTCAACAGACAGTAAAGACATTTTGCATGAGCAGGAAACCAAAAGCTAATTTGGGGGGCTGAGGACAGTGTTCTGGATACAAGAACACTGGATACTCCAAAAAGAGAGAAGAGTTCAATAATGTATAAGAAAACCGAGGTTCTAGACCAAACATGTCAAATTCAAAGGCTAACACGGGTCAAATAAACAAGGTTTAAGTTTATGTGGGCTGCAAAAAAATAAAAGTTTCAATTTTCATAGAAACATTAGTTTATTTCAATAGAGACATACTGAATACAAAAGGCTGAAATAAATGAGTAGTTGTTAATGAGTATTTGTTGTGGGCCTCAAGTTTGACATGCTTGTTCTAGACTGTTCACCTGGAACAAAGGTAGCCTGAGGAGACGGTTGTGATACCACCAGACAGCTCAGAGCATCACAGTAGGTCATAATTCGGCAGTTTCCATTCTGAGACACTGTGAAGGTCTTCTGGAAAAAGTACTTGTGCTGGGGCTGTTTGCAGGGCGAGCCGCTTAGCCAAGGCCCTTTGGAGCTAAGTAAGAGCTGATCCCGATGTTCCAGAATAAGTCTTTGCAAGTCCTAAAATGAAAAAGATTTTATAAACGTGAGGCTTTTTTGTTTAGTATTGTCTCATTAAAATTTTTTAAGTTATTTTTATTGATGAGAGAGAAACATCAATTTGTTGTTCCACTTCTTATTCATGCACTCATTTGTTTATTCTTGTATGTGTCCTGACAAGGGATGAAACCCACACCCTTGGTGTGTTGGGATGATATTCTAAACAACTGAGCTAACCAGCCAGGGCCGTGTGTAGCATTTTTTATTGTTATTCCCCTCATGCAAAATTCCTTGATCTAATACAAGGAGGTGTTGTTGTTATTTTTTAAAGTTTTTATTGATTTTTAGAAAGAGAGGAAAATAGAGGGATAGAGATAGAAACACTATCAATTAGCTGCCCCCTGCACGCTCCCCACTAGGAATTGAGCCCACCACCTGGCATGTGCCCTAACCAGGAATGGAACCGATGACTCTTAATTCCTGGGTCTACACTCAATCACCGAACCACACCAGCCCAGCACAAGGAGGTTTCTTATCCATTATAAGAAAATGTTAACATAAATCCTAGAGAACTGCTGAAGTTCTGGCAGTATTACAATAAGCAAATGAGCCGAGACCGGTTTGGCTCAATGGATAGAGCGTCGGCTTGGGGACTGAAGGGTCGTGGGTTCGATTCCAGTCAAGGGCATGTACCTTGGTTGCGGGCATATCCCCAGTAGGATATGTGCAAGAGGCAGCTGATCGATGACTCTCTCTCATCGATGTTTCTAACTCTCTATCTCTCTCCCTTCCTCTCTGTGAAAAATTAATAAAATGTATTAAAAAAAATCAATAAAATATATTAAAAAACAAACAAAAAAACATATAAGCTTTGGACAAATGCTCTAAACAGTAATAAAGTCGGTCATGTTCACTTGCTGACAATTTTAATAAATCCTATTTTTATCTGAGATGAACCTTAGTAATATTTAGATTCTTTTTCAATTCCTATACAGAAAGTCATTCGGATTAGAAAGGGCAAACTTACCTGGACACGACTATGAAGCTTAGTGCATTCCTCAGTGAGGACTTGAAGTCGGAGCCGGCACTGTGCTGTTTCTAACTCTGCCTGCTTCCTTAGCATCTGCTCTTGTAATAAGGTACTAGAGGGGGAAGCCAACAAGAGGTAGAAATTAGGAAGGCTACTGAAGACTTTCCATCAAAGTAGCATAGTAAGTTTATGCTTTGATACAAACACTTTGCTGTAAATATGTCATGGCTGAATAAAATATAACAAGAGAAAAAAAATCTCAAATCCAGAAACAATACAGAAATGTAGCACACATGGCTAAACTCATGAGCCTACTAGGTTTGGTGTTAAAGTAGGCAGTGATGACCAGGAGTTTTGGCTCTTTAAGCAATGAGGACCAAAAATGCAAAGTGAGGGATCAGAACTAAGCTGACTATTTGAGTAGCGCCAATTATGAAAGTGTAAAATAACATGTTAAAAGTCTAAGGTTATCTGCTGGAATAAAAGAAAAAACAAGCTACAAGATTAGATACTCAAATAGCACTATAAAAAAGAGGTTGAAGTGAAAAACATAGGATGCATGTAACAGGTAAATAATAACTAAAGACCAATTAGAATTAAAAAGAATGAATAAGCATAAAGATAAACAATGCATAATGAAAGGCACATTCACAAAAAATAAAAATCATAAATTTGCATGTACCTGAAGACAATTTGAAAATATGGAATACAAAAAAGAAGAGATTTCTACTTCTGTGACACAGGATAGAAAAAAGATGAAAATTGGAAAGAAAGGAATAAAGCTGCTCTATTTATTTCATGTAAAACTCAGGAGAACCTACAAACTATTAAGAGTCCCATAAGGTGCTAGAATCAAGATCAAGAAAATGAGATTAATCACATTCTCCATATACCATATAACTAATTGGTGAATTAATAACAAAAAAATTCATTCACAACAGCAATTCTAACAACAGCAACCTCAGAATAAAATTAAAGGGTATGTAAGAACTTCTTTAAAAAATATATTTTGTTGATTTTTTTACAGAGAAGAAGGGAGAGGGATAGAGAGTTAGAAACATCAATGAGAGAGAAGCATCGATCAGCCGCCTCCTGCACACCCTCCACTGGGGATGTGCCCGCAACCAACGTACATGCCCTTGACTGGAATTGAACCTGGGACTTCTCAGTCCGCAGGCCGACACTCTATCCACTGAGCCAAACCGGTTAGGGCAGTATGTAAGAACTTTATGAAGCAAAGTACACTTGTAAAAGACACAAGAAAAACAGTGAATAATTGGAAAGATATTATATATTGTTCATAGCTGGAAAGACTTAAAATCATGAAGATGGCATTTCTCGTGTTATTTTAAAAAATTAATGCAACTTTAATCAAGACATCAAAGGGCTTTTCCTGGAACTTAGCAAACTAATTTTAAAATTAATATGGACAAGCAAAATGCCAAGAATAGCAAAAACAATTTTAAAAAACCCATGTTTTTATTGATTTCAGAGAGAGGAAGGGAGATAGAAACATCAATGATGAGATAGAATCATTGCTCTGCTGCCTCCCAACATGCCTCCTACTGAGGATTGAGCCCAGAACCCCAGCATGTGTCCTGACTAGGAATCAAACTATGACCTCCTGGTTCATGGGTTAATGCTCAACCACTGAGACGTACCAGAGAGGCAGAAAAGTCAATTTTAAGGGACAAAGTAGGAGGACATATTTAAGCTATAATAAATTATATATTGGAGAACTGGAGAAATTAACAACCAGCCCTAGGTGGTTTGGCTCAGTGGAAAGAGTGTCGGCCTGCAGACCGAAGGGTCCCAGGTTCGATTCTGGTCAGGGGCATGTACCTTGGTTTCAGACATTCCCAGTAGGGTGTGTGCGGGAGGCAGCTGATTAATGTTTCTAACTCGATAAAAAATCAATAATATATATATATAACCAGATCACAGAACAAAAGAGTAGTCCATTCATACACAGAAACTTATTTTAAGATAGAGAATTAAGGGCGTCCCTCCAGCTGCCAGCAGGCACCCATGTCCCAGTTTTCCCTCTGAGCCTCCACTTTGTCAGGAAGGTCATCCAGTCTAATTAGCATATTACACTTTTATTATTATAGATTATGCTATCACAGTGGTTATCCAAATACTAGATTTTAGATAGATTAAAAGCCTGTTAAGACTTTTAAAGACCTTTAGAAGAAGATATCCTATCTTTATGACCTTGAAGCAGTGAAGACAAAAAAAACAGCACCAGAGACTGAAAATAGCATTAAAATTAAAAGCTCATATTCAAGAAACGATTCCATAAACAAGTTAGAGACAAGCCACACATTGGAGAATTATTTGCAATGTATACAAATTAAAAAATAATTAGTATAGCCCAACTTGTGTGGCTCAGTGGTTGAGTGTTGATGTACGAATCAGGAGGTCACAGTTTGATTTTCGGTCAGGGCCCATGCCTGGGTTTTGGACTCAATTCTCAATAGGGTGCATATAGGAAGCAGCCAATTAATGATTCTCTCTTATCATTGATGTTTCTCTCTCTCCCTTTTCCTTCCTCTCTGAAATCAATAAAAAAATATATTTTAAAAATGAGTATAAGGAATACATGAAAAACTATCTACACTAATAAGAAAGATGCTAATTGACCACCCACCAGCCAATCAGGAGTATGTGAATTAACCCAACAAAGATGGTGGGTTATTTTGCATACACAGGCACTGAGCTGGACGCCTGCACCATCACCATGGTGACAATGCAGGCGTTCCACATTGGCCCAGCCTCTCCAGGCCTATGGGCAGCATGAGAAGGCAGAAAGGAGGCTCTGGGGCGGATCAAAGGCAGAAAGGAGGCTCAAGCCTGAGTGAAGGCGGTGCTAGCAGCCAGAGGAAGGAAGGCCCGTTCTTGAACAAATATTCGTGCATCAGGCCTCTAGTTAATCAACAAGAAACAATGTTTTGATCAAAATGAGCAAAAGATATGAACACAATTTATAAAGAGTATGTTCATTAGTAACTGAGGAAATGCAACCTAAGTAAATACTACCTTACCCCATGAGTCTGGCAAAATTAAGCCTGGCCCTAACTGGTTTGGCTTAGTAGCTAGAGCACTGAACTGCAGACTGGCAGGTCCCAGGTTTGATTCTGGTCAAGGGCACATGCTCTTGTTGTGGGCTCTACTCTGTTTTTATCTTTCCCTCTCCCTTCTTTTCTGAAATCAATAAAAATATATAAGTCTGATAATATAAAGTAGGCGAGGGCATTAGAAAAATGAAAACTATCTTATATTGTTGCTGTGCAAGTATAGACTGGTAACCACGCCCAAACCAGTTTGGCTCAGTGGTAGAGCCTGGGTCTGCAGACTAGACTGGTAACCAGCTCCAGGGTGTAATCTGTCCAGCTGCTCAATATCAGAACAGCCACATGGGCACCACCTCTGAGAAGATGAATAGGAAACCTCTTAGTCAGGGAGATGAACACAATTGCTACTGCTAATTCTTACACGGAAAGCCCGCTGCTCTTCACTGTCGGACAAAGGAAGTGCACCTGACATTCTGAGGCACAGACAGTAAATGACCTGGCCACAAACCCAAGAGCAATTTGACAGTATCTAGTAAAGTTGAAAGTACATGTGACCTATTCAATTCCATTTCTAGACTGAAAAAAACTCTTGCCCATCTCTTTATAGCATGGCTTTTATGACCAAAAACTGGAAACTACCTTAACTGTCCACCAGCACAAAAGACACAAGTAAATTCTAACTAGAGAACTAAATATAATAAAGAAATTGAAATGTATAAACTAGTGTTACACGTATCAAACATAACATTAAGGAAAAAAGAAAGCTACAGATAGAAAATTATAACCCAATAGCATTTGCATAAAGTGTAAAAACATCATAAATCATATATATATGGATCCTCTGGGTAAAAAGATGGAATTAAGGAGAACTTAATTCACAAGTAAGTTTTTACTGTATCTATAATACAACTGCCATCTTAAAATGCTGCAAGTAAGTTTTGGTTGGAGTGAATGAGAAAAAAAAAAACCTCCAAGAAAACTAAAATCATCTGTAATCCCACTCCTCAAATGACTATTTGTAGTATTTTCTTTTTCTATCCACAAAAACATATCACACTAACAATATACTTTTACATGACAACATATTATATGCACTTCAGTAGCAGTTTTAATTCCATCATATACATATGCCAGAGTTTACTCAACTCATTAATTCTCTTAGCTTGGATTATTAACAATGCTAAATGAAAAACGCATTAAGTAAATTTTCCAACACATCCTTAATTGTTTTAGAATAAATGCCTGGAGTAGAATTACTTCTAAAGCATATTGTTGAAGCACACCGGCAAGGGCTTCTCTAAATGGTCATGCCTGTGCCCTTTCTTACTGGTAGTGTGTCCGAGAACCCATGTTACTGAACTCTCAGTGGTGAGCATAAAAATTCTTTAATATTCTTTTTTTTTTTTTTTTTTAAATACATTTTATTGATTTAAATGGAAGAAAGAGGGATAGAGAGCTAGAAACATCAATGAGAGAAACATCGACCAGCTGTCTCCTGCACACTCCCGACTGGGGATGTGCCCGCAACCAAGGTACATGTTTTTGACCGGAATCGAACCTGGGACCTTTCCACTGAGCCAAACCGGTTTCAGCTAATATTCTTAATGCATATTTTAAATAGTGTTATTAGTGATTGTTCTTGAACTTCCAAGAACAATTTCTTTCATTGCACTATAATGTAAAGCTTTATTTTTGAGTCTTCTGTATAGGGTGCTGCTGTAGGAGTTTTTTGTTTTTGTTTTATCAATATATTTTATTGATTTTTTTACAGAGAGGAAGAGAGAGAGAGAGTTAGAAACATTGATGAGAGAGAGAGAGACATCAATCAGCTGCTTCTTGCACATCCCCTACGGGGGATGTGCCTGCAACCAAGGTACATGCCCTTGACCGGAATCAAACCTGGGACCTTTCAGTCCACAGGCTGATGCTCTATCCACTAAGCCAAACAGGTTTTGGCAAGACACCATGGTCTTGATCTCCACAGGTCATATTTACCAAATGCTTAAGTCTTAGAGCAGATTCCAATGTCATGGGAATGCCTAAGTGCTCCTGCAGAAGGAACAGCTACTCCATTCCTCCTGAACCTACCTGTTCCAATTAACACACAACACTCAGGCTCTGAGAGCAGATGCTTACAGGAGGTGCCAAGCACATAGAAGGAGTGGCAATCTTCTCCCTGCTGCCCCTTCATGTCTCTCTGCAACACTGGTTAGTACTCCCTACGTTACAACAGAAGCGTTTTTAAATTGGAAAACTCAAATTGAAAACCAATGTATTGACTTGTGTAACTCAGAAATTCATTGGAGTTTAACTTCAGGTATAGCTGAAACCACAATTATTTGTCATCTTGATCCTCATTTTTAATGCTGTATAGAAAGCAAACAATGCAGACCTCTTTGAGAAGATGATCAGATATATATTATAAATCACAATAAGAGGCAGACTGCTAACAATCCCTACAGATCCCCAGTCACAGCCCAAGTAAAGCATCAGATCCACACGAAAAGTGACTCATACAACCTATTTCTACAAGGAACCAAAAGGGAACATTCCAGCGAGGCAGGTCCTTTTTACCTACCTTTTCATGCGTTCATGTTCAGCAGTGTCCAAAGCTCTCAGGGTTCGGGCATAAAGGACAACAATGTCACTGTGCTTGGCTTTCTTGTTGCACTAAAGAGCCCAATAGGACACAATTAGTCAAGTTCCAGGAATCCTCCTGACTTAAAATGACTGTGCACATGCACAGTCCCTATCTACAGTCCTTACCTGAGGACATTTTCGTGTCGGTCCTTTGAGCCACTTAGAAATGCAACTATACCCAAAGAGGTGGCCACAGCGTAAAGCAGAAAGCCGGTGATCCCCAGCATTAGTCCACTGTTCTAAACATATTGTGCAAGTGTCCCCTTCTTCCTCATCTGTAGAAACTGAAGGCAGGAGAACACTGGACTTCTGGGGAGACTGCTGGATGTAAATCAGAACACATTCATATGAAAGAAAATGCAAAAATCAATCTTGAAAAGGATGCACAGCTATCAAATTAACAAAACCACTCAAAAATTATACAAACCCATTTTAAAACACTGCAGAAAAACTACAACACCTATGAATCACTTGTCATTCTTTCTAGAATGCAATCTAGTCAAATCTAACATAAGGCACAAAAATATTAGTACCATTTTACCTTGAAACTGTTTGTTTTTTTCATTCAAATGAAGAAAAAGAGCTATCTTTACAAAGACACACACACACATACACACACAAATTAGCAGTTACTCAGATAACCAACAGGAAACAGTAAGTTTGTTATTTTTCCAAAATAAGGTTTCATAATCAAGTTAAGTGGTTATAAAGTACTTTGTTCATGTGATTCAAAGAAAACCACCACAAAAAAACCCAAAATATAAACAGCTTACAAAAAATTACAAATGGTCAATAATTGTTCACTTATAATTTTAAAAAAGCAGTAAATTAAAAAAATGCAGATTTTCCCATCTATTAGATGGTATAAATTAATATCTGATGACACCAAGCACTGTTGAGAGAGGGAGAAATGGGCATGCTTACATATTGTTGCTGTAAGTAGAAACTGGTACAAATTTTCCAGAGGGCAATTTGGCATTATCTATTAAAACTAAAACACATATCTTTCCTTTGACATAACAATCTCTTTGAGAGGAATATATGTCATGAATACAGACACAAAATTTGCCAACACATTTCTACAAGGATGTTCAGTGCAGCATGACTTATATTAGAAAGAGCCCTTGGCCAGTTGCCTCAGTGGTTGGGGTGTCACCCTATATTCTGAAAGGTTTTGCGTTCCATTCATGGTCAGGGCACCTACATCAAAGTCACCCCTCAACTCACACTGCTCCCTCACCCCCGCTTGCCCTCTCTCTAAAATCAATACATATATGCTTGGGTGAGGATTTAAGTAAGTAAAAAAGAAAGAAAAGGGAATGACCATAGTACACATAAGGGAAGAGTTAACACAAAGTTTATTTATATGATGGAACATTATTATTAAGTTATTAATAAAAATAAGGTTCAACTTTACGTGCTGATAATAGAAAGCTCTCCAAAATGTAGTTGGTGGGAAAAGGAATAAAAACAAGATATAATATAATCCCACTTGTGTAAATTTAAAACATTTTTACATATAAATTCACATGTACTTAAAATTTTTTTCTAGAGGGAAGAAATAAAAACAGAAACCATACACAAACATGCAAAAAGTAGATCAATGATGTTTTAAGATTGGCTAAGTTCACAATTAATGTAAATAACTCATATTAAGAATAATAATTTGTTATTTTAAAAAAATACATTTTATTGATTTTTTACAAAGAGAAAGGGACAGAGATAGAGAGCTAGAAACATTGATGAGAGAGAAAACATCAATCAGCTGCTTCCTGCACATCTCCTACTGGGGATGTGCCTGTAACCAATGTACATGCCCCTGACCAGAATCGAACCTGGGACCTTTCCAGCTCTATTGACTAAGCCAAACCAGTTTCAATTAATTTGTTATTTTTTAAATTAAAAATTGCTTATCACATGGCTATCACCTTCTGCTAGACAGTTCATTCTTATATATTATTTTAATCGATACTTAACCTTGTTAGATAGCACAAGTTACCCTCACATCTTCACCCTCCATCTACGAACCCTTTTTAAAACTAAGAAAAAGAAGTCACACAAATGACTAACTTAGATAAGATCTACTCCTAGACCTCCTCCTATAAAGCCTACAAGTTTTTCATTTTAGCCTGCAGTCTCCTTCTAAGTGAAAAATCCAAACCTTTTCATTAAAAAAAAAAGTTCAGATTACCTGCTTGGGGAGTGTCTCTCTTCCACCACTACATGTAACTTCTTGCTCTGTTGAAACACCTCCTGGTTGTTCTGCCAAGTCGTTTCCAGAAATAACAGAATAGGTGATAACAAAAGAAGACATATGTTATAAGGTATCAGAGGCTAGGAGAGCCTGAACTCACCATTTCTAATTGGTAGTGTCACTGTAAAAGGGATGACAATTTTCCCAAGTAGCATCAGCGAATTTCCCACCATTTATTTTTCATATTTTCTAATATATATAAAAAGAAGACAGAACCCATCAACCCATTTCAAAATAATCAATTATTTTTATAATCTTGTTCCAGCTTAGCCCGATTCCTATTATTTCTTTTGGAATACTTAATAACAAACTCTTAAATATCATTTCATTTGTAAAAACTTTTGTAACACTAACTGATAGGATTTACTTTTACATAACATTATTATTGTACCTCATAAAATTAACACTAATCCTTTAATACCTTTAATACCCAGGTACCCAGTTCATATTTGAAATTTCCCAACTGTATTTACTACAGTGAATTTATTTCAACCAGGATCTAAACAAGGTCTCCAAAATGAGCTTAACTGTTATGTCTCTTAAGTCTTTGTTTTTCCTTCATAACAATTTTCCTTTACTCATTTTTATCTCCTCCTTGTCACTGATATATTGGGGAAGTTTGGTCATTGGTCTTATAAAAAGTGCTACATCCTGGATTTGGCGGTTTTCTTGCAGCACTGCTTACATTTCCTATAAATTGACAGGTCCAGAGGCTTCAAGAGATTCAATTCTGGTTTTGGGGGAAGAGGAGAGGCAGCAAGATATTTCTTAGGCTGTGGATCTCTGATTATAGCTCATCAGGAGGCTCATATTGGGTTGCGGTGTTGTCAGTCCGACCCCTAACTATCAGGGTCTTCATCAATCTTTCACACCTTCATTAATGGTTAAGGAGGTGACTTTTTAAAAAATATATATTTTATTAATTTTTTTACAGAGAGGAAGGTAGAGGGATAGTTAGAAACATCGATGAGCGAGAATCATCGATCAGCTGCCGCTTGCACACCCCCTACTAGGGATGTGCCCGCAACCAGGGTATATGCCCTTGACCGGAATGGAGCCTGGGACCTTTCAGTCTGCAGTCCGACGCTCTATCCACTGAGCCAAACCAGTTTTGGCAAGGAGGTGATTTTTAATTTTTAGTCATTTTTCATGTGAATTTTCTTAGATTGCTTCTAGATTTTGAAGTTCTCCTTATTTCTGGATTTTATCACTCATATACTCTTCTAATACCAAAATGGTTTAATTTTTTACCCTAGATCTCCAACCCACTTACTATATCCTGTTTTATAATATAAGGAATGAATACACTTTTATTGTTTTTCAGTTAGATATCCAGTTTTAACAAGAATTGAGTCTCTTATCCCTACTGATTTGAGATTTTCCCTTTACAAAACCAGATTTTTATATACATTTAGGTATTTTTATAGATGTTCCAAATGTCATATATTTTAGATTTGAATGATTGCATCTTTGAGATACTGCTTACCTGTTCCTCTATTCCTTTCTGTAAACTGTGCAAATTAGTTATTATATCTAGAGTCTTAAATAAATTCATGTTTTCTGTTTTGCAATAATATTTCTTAGTGGTGTGGATTTTTCTGACTATAGCATATCAAGAGGCACATAAGTTCTGGAGATTTTAGCCTGGTCCCTCTAGAAAAAGAATTCCATTAACTTTTCAACCGAATGACTTTAGGATCCATTGATGGTCTTTACCTGTTTACATTGTTTTATTAGGAACCACAAAATAACCCCCCTCCCCATCATTTCTGCCATTACTAGGTAATTCTTTTATTTATTTACTTATAACTATATTTTAATTGATTTCCGAAAGGAAGGAACAGGTAGAGATAGAAACATCAATGGTGAGAGAGAATCATTGACCTTCTGCATGCCCATTACTGGGGATCGAGTTCACAAACCTGGGCAATCAAACCTGGGACCTTCCAGTCCACAGGATAAGCCAAATCAGCTAAAGTGGTAATTCTTCTATTTAAAAAAATCTCCCTTTGGCATGGGTGGCAGGGATACAATGGCAGAGCAGAGAGATTTTAGGGCAGTGAATATGCTCTGTATATTAGAATGATGGTTGTCCAAGCCTATAAAATGTGTAACACCAAAAGTAAACCCTAAAGTAAACTACGGACTTCAGGTAATTATGATATACTAGAGGCCCAATGCACAAAGATTCATGCAAGAAAGGGCCTTCCTTCCCCTTGTTGCTGGCACCACCTTTTCTCTGACCAGAACCGCCTTTCTGCCTTTCCACGCTGCCCAGAGGCCAGGAGTGGTTGGGGTGGTGCCGAAAGCAAATGTCCTGCCCCATCCCTGAAGTGTCTGCATATGCAAATCAACCCACCATTTTTTAGTTAATTTGCATACTCATGCCTGATTAGCTGTTGCAAAGTTACAGTCAATTAGCATGTTACTCTTTATTAGGTAGATAACAAATGCACCATTCTGGTGAATGATGCTAACAATGGAGAGGCAGACAATGCATGTGCAGAGATAGAGGGTATATGAGAAATCTCTGTATCTTGCTCTCAATTTTGTTGTGATCCCTTTTTTTCAACTACTCTAAAATAAAGTCTTTAAAAATAACCCTAAAACTTCCTTCATCGATTATTTGGCTTTCCTGAATACAGTTCACACAAGGAAAGGCAGGATAAATGTTTACTCCTTTATTTTTCAGCTTTTAGACTGAGTTAGGGCTCTTATAATTTATTAAAATGACTAATAAGTTTGTTTTTATTGATTTTTTTTTTTGAGATACATCAATTTGTTGTTCCACTTATTTATGCATTCATTGGTTGATTCTTGTATGTGCCCTGACCAGGGATGAAACTGCCAACCTTGGTATATTGGGACAACACTCCAACTGAGCTACGTGGCCAGGGCAATAAATAAGGTTTTTAAAAAATACATAATTATTAATCTATATATTTTCATAGATTTAATGCATTTCAACCTATTTAAAAAACAAATAAACACTCATTATTCTTTTTGATGCTCAAACTGTCCTATTTTATTTTAGGTAACCAAAAACCCTTTCTAGGTTGTTCTTATGACATAACTCTATGAGACTTAGATCATCTCCTTGCTTTCTGGCCTAATAAAATGCCCTAGACTCATATTTGAGATTCCTATCCTGGACCTGGAAAGCCATTTCTCCAAAAGGCCCTAGTTCCATTTAGTGGGAAAAGCCCACAATCTGGGGTATCAGAGGGTTTTTAATGTAAGCAAGACATATGCTTTAGAGGTCTCTGCCCACCAGTTGCTAAATAAAGTTCCATTTGCGAAATACATAACATTATACTAGGACTTAAAAAGTAGAAGACTAGATAGGGCGCTGAATTTACAAAGCTTTTCTTTAAAACAATCAAACAAACAAAAATCTACTTCCTTCTCAGATGTCTAAGAAAATGAAAGGGAATATAAAATGTCATTATAAATGATTCACTGGGTCACAAATCATATTAAATTGCAAGTCAAATCAAATCCTCTTTATATAATTATGGCCAGTGAAAGCTGCACTATAAAGCAGAAATCTATAGCATTTGGGGGGGAAAAAGAAAAATATCAAAACACGTATCCAGAGACTCTAGCCTTTTGAAGTCTGAATATTTGTTGTTTGTTAATCCTCACTGGAGGATATTTTTCCATTGATTTTTAGTGAGAGTGGAAAGGAAGAAATGGGAGAGAGAAACATCAATCGGTTGCTTTCCACAGGTGCCCGCCACCAGGGGTGCAAAGTGCAACCCAGGTATATGCCCTTACCTGGGAATTGAAGAGGAGACCCTTCGGTACTCCTCTTCAATTGACCAATGAACTAAACAGCCACACGAAGCCGGGCTGGAGTCTAAGCTTTAATGCTCTAAACAGCCACACGAAGCCGGGCTGGAGTCTAAGCTTTCTATATATTAGCCTTGTGAATCCAAACCTGAATAAACACTCACCTTCTAAATTGGCAACTTCAGGCTCATCTATCTGTACAACCACCTCTTCATACTCTATGGAACTTTCATTGTCAGAATCAGAACTACTTGGTGCTTGCAAGTCTTCAGATACAGGATTGCTAGCCCCTGAATCATGAGAAGTAGTTGGCAAAGAAGGTTGGCTCCTGCTCACTTGAAAGTAAGCATCCAATGGTGGTGCTCTGGACCTATTTATGAAGAAAGGCAATAGAATGTATAATAGACCATTCATAAAAATAATTCAATGTGATTTGGAGGCAAATCCTACTCATTTGAATCCATCTCCAGAACCTTAAATGCTGCCTTTGAACAAAATAGCAGATTTAGGCAGATAGTGGCTGGTCTGTATACTCTCTTCCACTCAATTATATTAGCCCACTCTGGAGCTTGACTCTTCTACTAAAAGCTAATTCTACTTTACTGGCCCTTTTCCCTATGTCTTAATACCTTTTAAAAGATATAACTCAGCAATCTGTCAATATTACGGGATTGAAAAGAGAAAGTGGGCATCAAGAAAAAGGACCATTGGTCAAGTATGGTCTCATGGATTCTGCTGCTACAGTTAGGTAGATCAGGCCTTTTGGGATACAGAATGAAGTCTGACTTCAGTCATCGTTTCAGCTCTTATTTTAAGACACTAGAGGCCCAGTGCACGAAGTTTGTGCATTCAGGGATCCCTCAGCCTGGCCCGCCCTCTTGCAGTCCGGGAGCCCTCAGGGAACATTGAGCCTAGCTTCTGGCTGAGCTGCACTTCATCTATGGGAGTTCTGACTGGAGCATCTGCCCCCTTGTGGTCAGTTCGCATCTTAGCAACCAGTCATTCTGCCAAAGGGCTGAAACCGGCTCTCTGACATCGCCTGAGGGGTCCTGGATTGTGAGAGGACCCAGGACAGGCCGAGGGACCCCAGCAGTGCATAATGGGGACCAGGAAGGGATGCTTTGAATGGTTGAACAGACAACTGGATGACTGGACACTTAACACATTAGGCTTTTATTATATAGGATTATTTTTCTTCTCAAGAAAAATATCTGGTTAAGATTAAAAACACAACATATCAAAAAAGAACTCAAAATGTTGGGAGCAGATTTAACATTCCAATTAATTCTGGCTGGCTGAGTTTTAACCATAACCACTTTTATACTTCAGTTTTCCTTATTTTCAAGGTAGCAAGCCATACTCAGAATTAATGACATTTGATATTAAAAATCTAAAAGGGGTTCTGAACTTTAGAACATACTACCAAGCTAACAATCACAAAGTATTAGTGAAAGGTGACCTACTTTAAGTTTTAATTTTATTTTTTAAAATATATTTTATTGATTTTTTTACAGCAAGGAAGGGAGAGGGACAGAGTTAGAAACATTGATGAGAGAGAATCACCGATCAGCTGCCTCCTGTACACCTCCTACTGGGGATGTGCCCGCAACCAAGGTACGGTACATGCCCTTGACCAGAATCGAACCTGGAACCCTTCAGTCTGCAGGCCAACGTTCTATCCACTGAGCTAAACCGGTTAGGGCTACTTTAAGTTTTAATAACTTTTTATGACATTAAGATATATTATTACCCAGAAATATTGGAGATTGCTCATGCAGAAAACTTTTGATTTCTCATAGGATTGCTAAAATTTATGACTAACTAGGGCTTTCTTTTAAAAAATGGATGGGGAGAACCCAAGATGGCAGCATAGGTAAACACCTAACCTGTTGCCTTGCACAACAATTTCAAAACTACAACTAAAAGACAAAACATTTATCACCCAGAACAGTGGGACAGCTGGCTGAGTGTAAGTTCTACAACTAGAAGAAAAGAGAAAAAAGCATTCAGTGCACAAAAGCTGAAAAGCTGAGGTACAGAGGTGAGCGTGATCTGGGCTGGTGAGTGGCGGGTGTTGCTTTCTTCAACCCGAAGGGATACAAGCTCCTGATTACTCTGAAATCTAGTTTCTGGGGAGATGCACAGGACCCAAACTCCTATGGGGAGAAGCTGGTCTGCCTGCCATCGGGTCAGAAAGTGAGGGTGGCTTGCTTGCAGAGCTGCACGAAGGAATAATTGCTTGTTGCGCTGGGGCATGAAGCACGGTCGAAAGTGCGGGGACAGCTGGCTGGCAGCCATTGCTGTTTGCCACGCCTTAGCCTGGTGAAGCCCTGAGACCCTACCACGCACAACCTACAAATCCACCCATGCTCCAAGCAGTGGCTTTTGCATATGAATCGCCTTCTCTATCACAGCTTAACCTAGCAAACTTGTAATCCGGTTCAGACAGATTCAAAACCTCCAAATCCCAAGCGAAGAAGAGAAAACTGTAGTTCTCCCTGTAGCTCCTGCAGGGCGGCTTCAGACAGAGCTAACCTGCACCCCATTGGAGATCCAGAAGCCAGTCTACCTAGTGGTCAGTGTGAGATACCAGATTTCAACTCCTCATACCCGTAAGTGACACATTCAAGAGTCAGACTCAGTGAGCACCAAAGCCCCAATGAAACAAGTCCTGCACCATAAGCATGTCTCTAGCACAGCAGTTCTTCCATTATAAACACAGAAGGTCCCCACAGCAAATTGGCCTGGAGATAAATTCCTCCTAGTATACCAACAGCAATAAAGGCTTAACTACATCAAGACTTTGTACTCATCCCACAAAGGGGTGTACCAAGAGCGTCCACCTCAGGTGATTGAGGAGGCTGAGCTACTGTCACCTATAGTTCACCTACCACACAAAGCCACTCCATCAGCACAGGAAAGCAGCCAAAATGCGGAGACACACAGAAACATGTCAAGAATGAAAGAAATGGAGGAAAGTAAACTACTGGACAACATAGAGTTCATAACCACATTTATAAGGTTACTCAAAAATCTTCTAAAAACCGCTGAGAAACTTGATGAGACCTTCAAGGACCTTAACGAGAATGCAAAAAAAAAAAAAAAAAAAAAAAAAAGAAGGCAAAGTTAAAAATTAAACATACACTGTCTGAAATAAAGAATATACAGAAACTCAACTGTAGATCAACGTACCCCAAGAATCAAACCAAAGATCTGAAATATGAGAAAACAAAATATACTCAACCAGAAAAACAAAAAGAAAAAATGATCCAAAAATATGATGATAGTATAAAGAGTCACTGGGACAACTTTAAGTGTACCAACACCCGAATTTTTGGAGTGCCAGAAGAAGAGAGTGAGCAAAATATTGGAAACCTATTAGAAGAAATAATAACAGAAAACTTTCCCTACCTTGTGAAAGAAATAGACTTACAAGTTCAGGAAGTGCAGAGGACCCCAAACGAGAAGAATCCAAAGAGGACCACACCAACACATCATAATTAAAATGCCAAGGGCAAAAGACAAAGAGAGAATCTTGAAAGCAGCGAGAGAAAAAGTTAGTTACTTACAAGAGAGTACCCATATGACTGTCAGCTGATTTCTCAACAGAAACTATGCAGGCCAGAAGGGAGTGGCAAGAAATATTCAATGTGATGAACAGCAAGAACCTACAACCAAGATTACTCTACCCAGCAAAATTATTCAGAATTGAAGGTCAGATAAAGAGCTTCACAGACAAGAAAGAGCCAAAGGAATTCATCACCACCAAACCAGGATTACATGAAATGCTAAAGGGTATTCTTTAAGAGGAGGAAGAAGAAGAAAAAGGTAAAGATCAAAATTATGAACAACAAAAAGACATCAAATACATATCTACCAACAAGTGAATCTAAAAATCAGGTGAATTAAAATGTCTGAATAACAGAATGGACTGGCGAATATAATAGAATCAGGGACATAGAAAGGGAGTGGACTGACAATTCTCAGGGGGAAGGAGGGTCCGAAAGGTGTGGGAAGAGATTGGACAAAAAGCTTACACCTATGAAGACAGTGGTGGGGGATAAGGGAATGGTGTGGGGTGGGGAATCAGGTGGAGGGGAGCTATGGGGGAAAGAGGGGGAGAGGAATACCTGTAATAATCTGAACAATAAAGATTTATTTTAAAAAATAAATGGATGATTGCCCTAACTGGTTTGGCTCAGTGGGTAGAGCTTCAGCCTGTAAACTGAAGAGTTCCATGTTTAATTTCAGTCAAGAGCATATACTTTGGTTGCAGGCACATCCCCAGTGGGAGGTGTGCAGGAGACAGCTGATCAATATTTCTCTCTTGTCGGTGTTTCTAACTCTCTATCCTTCTCTCTTCCTCTCTATTAAAAAAAAAAAAAAATCAATAAAATATATATATTTCAAAATGGATGATTAAATAGAACAAAATAAACATTATTTGGTATCCCACTCAATAAATAGAAGATTCACCCTTATAAGAGATGTGAATAAATTATAATTAGTAGCAATTGTGAAGGCTTTGATTAGCAATTTAAGAGCACAAACCAGTGATTTTTAGCATAATCACAAACAAGATTCTAAAATGACCTCTGTACCCATAAGCAGTCACCTTCTTTTCTCCTTCCCCCATAGCCTGTGGCACCACTAATTTACTTTGTTTCAACGGATTTGCTTATTCTGTATTTTCATGAATAGGACTATATTGTGGCCTCCTGGGTTTGGTTTTTTTTCACAACTTGATGATAAATACAAGGATTATATAATCTGCAAATAGCTATAATATTCATTAAAAATATATATTATTTTTATTGATTTCAGAGAGGAAGGGTAAGGGAGAGATAGAAACATCAATGATTAGAATCACTGGTTGCCTCTTGCATACCTCCTACTGGGGATTGAGCTGGAATCCCAGGCATGTGCCCTTGACCAGAAGAGAACCCGAGACCTTCAATCCACAGGCTAATGCTCTATCCACTGAGCCAAACTGGCCAGGGCATTTCTTTCTAATAGAAATGTCTTATTTATCTAGTCTAGTCTAATCTAAAAGTTTTAATGCACATTTATCTGGCTCCAGAATCCATGTTCTTTACACTGAACTACACAGTTCTTGGTCTTTTAAGTTTCCACTTTGTGGAAACAAACATGTGACTGTCAGTTAAATAGCTTGATTAATATCTTTCAACATCTAAATTCTGTAACCTGAGCACAGATTCTACATATGTCAGCAATTTTCTAATTTTATTGTTTGGGTTGTGTGTGTAAATATCTTCTAGGAGTATCATGCTGAACATGCCAACAAGATAATTTGTTCTCTGTAGAGTTCCTATTTCTCTCTGTAAACTGGCACTTGGTTTATAAGTGTCATTCTGTGAGGTGGTTAACACAAGTGTCCCCGACCAAGAGCACTCAACTGATTGTACGAACAACCAAGGCTGAGGAATACTGTGAGAGGCGTCTTAGTCAGCCAGTCCCTGGGGATACCACGCTCAACTCTCAGCCCATTTACTCCCTTCAACAGAGGCCCAAAACTGCACTACAAGGTACTGTCACCTATCACACAACTGTGTGAAGTCTTATTTTTGCTTTCATAATCTGAAGGAATGACACCTTAAAATAACAGAGTTGGATGCATTTGTAACTCTTGTTTACCACAGAACTAGGCACCCACCATCTTTGATGGGTCACATCCAGGAGTAACCAGGCCCTACAGAGGCTGGAACCACATTAATAGCAGGCCCTTCTACAGTATCAGCAGGATCCATGGAAAAGGACGCTGAATCCTAAAACCGAAGGCACAACCCCAATTCCAGAGTTACCTCAGACAAATCACAAATTATCTTATCAGCTTCCTCATTTGTAAAAATAGGTGACCTAGCCACTGTTTTTAGTACCATCTCACTATTTTCATAGTGTTAAGACAAAAGGATTAAGCTCCTTCTATATCTGTGTAGAAAATGAGTCCAATCCAGGTTCAATACCAGCTCTACTTCTTCTGTGTGGTAGCTATGAGACCTTGATCAAAACATTCTTGGGGTCCATAAAATGAATTCTACCTCTTTAAACATGAAAATATTTAAAAGACCACATATAAAATAAAGTCTTTCAAATAAATCAGAGGGACATTAAAAACTGGTAAGACATAGACAATTATTATTCTTTATAATAATTCTGTCAAGACTTGACAGCTTAGCCCTTCAAGAGGTAAATTCAAACTGATTGTATGAAAAAATATTTTCAACTCTTCAACATAGTCTCAGATGAGGAAGACTGGAATGCTTCCCACTGTCAGATAAGCTCTTAATTCACATTCTCCTTTTCACAAGGATTCTCTAAATCTAGCCTATACCACTATGTAGAGTGCCAATAAATAATGGATCTTGGGTGAGTGGAGTGAATTTACAAATTAAGAATTATATAAGATGCAAATGATCTAAAGAAAAGCCAACCTCTACAAAAACCATGGCCAATAACCATCTGTTTTCAAAGCATCTGAGTATAACTTATCCCTTGCCTCACCAGAGTGACTCAGTGGTTAAACGCTGTCCTATGCACTAAAAGGTTGCTGGTTCAATTCCCGGCCAGAATACATTAAGGGTTTTCAGATTCCATCTCCGGTTGGGGCACATTGGAAAGGCAACTGATGAATGTTTCTCTCTCTCTCTCTCTCTCTCTCTCTCTCTCTCTCTCTGTCTGTCTCTGTCCCCCTCCTTTGAGAGGAAAAAAATTTAAGTATAGCATGCCCCCTCAATTACTTTGTTAGGTAAATAAAGCAAGCACTTTTATATTCATCTGACCTGTGAGAAAACGGATTCAGAAGTTACCTGATTTGTCAAAAGTCACAATGCCTATCTTATCTTAAGCAGTACTGGGGTTATGACAGAGTTGGATGCATTTGTAACTCTTGTTTACAAGAGCCCAAGAATCGAATCCCAAGTACCAGATTGGGAATTTTGCCCATATATTATTACTTACCTGGCATTGTCTGTCCTCTGAGGCCCTCCTGTTCTTGCTCTGCGTGAAGCAGTCCCTCTCCTCCTCCTGGTTCTTACTGGCCCCACGTTGTTGTCTGGAGGGGGTCTCAAGAGCTCCAGCATGCCATGGAGTCTCTGTAGCCCATTGATGTAGTTGCTCACTGAGCGCAATGAGGCCACTCGAATGGGGGGGTTAGCATCAGATCCTTGCCCATGGTCCTCTGAAGTTCCTGGATTGATATTCTCCACATTCTCTTCTCCTAAGAGCTCCACTTCCTCTGTCAGGTCAATGGACACCTGTGGAGCAGGCTGCAGCAGGGGTGGTTCCCCTTGGCTGCTGACCGGTTCAGCAGGGGCAGGCTGCAGCAGGTGTGGTTCCCCTTGGCTGCTGACCACTTCAGCAGGGGCAGGCTGCAGCAGACGTGGTCGCTCTTGGCTGCTGACCACTTCGGCAGGGGCAGGCTGCAGCAGACGTGGTCGCTCTTGGCTGCTGACCACTTCGGCAGGAGCAGGCTGCAGCAGGTGTGGTTCCCCTTGGCTGCTGACCACTTCGGCAGGGGCAGGCTGCAGCAGACGTGGTCGCTCTTGGCTGCTGACCACTTCGGCAGGAGCAGACTGCATTAAGGGTGGTCCCTGCAGGCTACTGACAAGTTCGGCTGGAGCAAGTTGTCCTAGAGCATTATGATCTATCTGAACATCATATTCCATTGCTTCTTGAGCCATCACTGAGGAAGCAATATTTGTAAAAGGTATTAGTAAAATAGATAAAACATGTCATATAGTTGATATAATCATATCTAGTTTTGTAGAATTCTATTTAAAAACATTCTTGGCAAAACTGAGAAGATTTTAGTTAAGTCAGAGGTGTTTTGGTAATCATCCACTTTTTTCTCCATAACACTTACAGCCAGTTGTCAAGGTCATCCTTTGAAAACATGAAGTCATGTGACCATAGTACGATCTTCTTAAATAGAAATAAGAGGACTGAACTATTGGGTCTGAAAGTAATATCCCATACCTCTTGCAGTTTTTTGTCATGACCTGAATATGGACATTTACCAAATTAATTCAATTACTAAGTAGAAATTACCTAATTTCTCCAAAAAGGTTAAGCAACCTTTATTTACGCCATCCTTTTCATTATGTTTCCCATTTCTAATTCCATTTAACAAATATTTATTAAGCATTGTTACGTAGACACCCCACAGACAAGACACTGCGTAACAGAGTTTACATTCTAGCAAATGGGAGAATGTGAAAATTAGACATTGTGATATTTGGTTTTAAGTGTCGGAGGCAAAAAACATCATTTCAGACACAACAGTAAGGGAAGGCCTCTCAGAAAGAATAAAACTGAGCTGAGGAATAAAGGATTAAATGAAGTTGGCACTATAAGAGCCAAGGAAGTTTCATTAGAAAATCAGTACACAGGCCCCTGGCAAGCATGGAATTTGGTGCATTTGAGAAACCCGACAGACCAGTGTAATGAGTACAGTAAGGAAGAGCAGACAACATGGATGAGCTTAATAGGGCAGAACACTGTTGCTGAAGGCCTTGTTGGAGAGTTTCTTCTTGTTAGGGATGGCCTTTCAGGAAGCAAGATTTCACACCTGGTGACTAGTTTATAAGTTACTATGGGAGGGTAAACTAGTGGTTACGAAGGTTTGGACAAGAGTGGACAGCTTTGCCCTGCCAGTATGGTTGAACATGCTAGAGGCAGTTGATCAATATTTTTCACTTCTAGCACTGAAGGATTCGGGGTGGCTCTGGTCAGGGTGCGTGTGGGAGGCAACAAATTAATGTGTCCCTTTCACATCAGTGTTTCTCTCTTTCCCCTTCCCTCTCACTCTCTAAAAAGTCAATGGGATTTTACTGTTAGAAAATGACTGGGTCTCTGCCCATATATCTAACAGTAAAATCACACGATTGATAAGGGTTAGCCACTCATACAGAGCTTCCAATACAGAGCTTTCTTTGTAAAAAGATTGCTAGAGAAAAGGACAAACCAGAAGAGTCCTTGAAATGAAAAATAATAAGCAAAATGAGAATGGAAGATAAAGTGGTGGAACTCTTCCAAAAAGTAGAAGAAAAAAGATAGCCAATTAAGACAGTAATAAAAATAAAAGATCAAGCCAGGATATATGATTAAGTGAAGTACCAAAAAGAAAGAACTCAGAAAATGGAGAACAAAGTAAAGCAAAACCTTGGGTCAAAATGGAATCATAAACCCTCTTCCAACTAAGAACCCCAACATAGCCGAAACCGGTTTGGCTCAGTGGTGGAGCGTAGGTCTGCGGATTGAAAGGTCCCAGGTTCGATTCCGGTCAAGGGCATGTACACTGGTTGCGGGCACATCCCCGGTAGGGGGTGTGCAAGAGGGAGCTGATCGATGTTTCTCTCTCATCGATGTTTCTGGCTGTATTTTTTGCCAACCTGACAAAAAACTAAAAGGTATAATTTTGATTCATTCCCACCAGACAACTCGTGTTGTGTTGGCTGTTGTCATTTTTTTTTTTTAACTTGATAATCTAGTCATGCCGGCATGGCTCAGTGGTTGAGCACTGACCTATGAACCAGGAGGCCATGGTTCAATTCCTGTGCAGGAGGCAGCCATCAATGATTCTCTATTATTGGTGTCTCTCCCTCTCTCCCTCTTCATTCCTTTCTGAAATGAATAAAAATATATTTAGCCGAAACCGGTATGGCTCAATGGATAGAGCGTCGGCCTGCAGACTGAAGAGTCCCGGTCAAGGACATGTACCTTGGTTGCGGGCACATCCCCAGTGAGGGGTATGCAGGAGGCAGCTGATAGATGTTTCTCTCTCATCGATGTTTCTGACTCTCTATTCCTCTCAGTAATCAATAAAATGCATTAAAAAATATATTTTTTAAAAAAAAAATAAACTTGACAATCTGAGGGGAAAAAAGGTCATGCCCTGACTAAATAGGTATTGCATGTTTAAAAAACCCTTGACACACACACACACACACCAGCTGAAAATCTCTGGCCTAGAGCAAAAGAAGGTCCTACTGCGTCTCCCCCCCTCCCCCCCACAAGCCTTAAGCAACTGTGACCTCGATTTTCTACTTAGCTGTGCCATCAGCGTTGGGAGTTTAAAATGTTAACCTCCCCCAATTCATCTTACCAAGCTTTGTTACTCAGATTCCAATCAACGTCCACTACAGGCGGGAGGAGCCGGCACCCCAATGAACAAAATAAAAAGCGGCATCAGGGAGTCAGGCCGCAGGCCGACCTTGGCTCACATCCTTGCTCGGAAAGCTACTATACCGGGGGGGGGGGGGGGGGACCTCAGGCGGGTTTCCCCTAACTAGTTCACCTGTAACGTAACTATAATAGAAGTGTGTACGTCGCAGGTGTTGCTAAATAAAATGTAAAATTAGGTTCTTCAGTCACCTCGGAAGTGATGCCACTGACCAGCGCTCACACGGAGAACAATTATTTGCAAACGAAGAGTTTTTAAGGGTCGGCTCCGGGGAGACGGGGCTGAGGAAACTCGGGCCGGCGGCGAACTCGCCTCCGAACACGGTTAACTTCCGGGATCGTTCGGACTTCCTGTCTTCCCCGCCCCCACCCCGACTCAGGGCCTCTCAGAAACCCCGAAACCAGCGGGATTCCGGCGCCTCAGCCCTGACGGTTGGCGCCGCCTAGAACGGCCGAACCTTCTCAGGGCGCGGGGTTCCACTCGGGGCGTCCCTAAGTTCCGCACCCCGGGGCCAAGGTAGGAAGTTATTCCGGAGCCAGAAGTGGGGAGAAGGAAGCGCCCTCACCTGCAGCCGGAAAGACGCAGGCGGGCTCTCGAACCCGCCGCCGTTTGTTTGTTTCTCCGGCGAAATTCACGTCGCCCGACTCCGACCTCCCTTCCTCATCAGCTCAAGCTGCCCGCCTAAATGGCGGGCGCGGCTTGTTCCTATTGGGCAGTAGTCCCCGGCCGCCGACCAATACCCTCTCTTCTTCTTCCTTTGGTCGCCGCTGGCTAAAAGAGCGGCGCTCTCATTGGCTATTCCTTCGCAAACGGAAGAGGCGGGACCGCGCGCGAGGAGGCCTCTTACAATTGGCTAAAAGCTACGGCCCGCCCCCTCGCGTTCAGCCCCCAAACGCTCCGTACCGCTCTTTATTTGAACTTTTTGGCGGAGAAAAAGTTGTAAGAAAAAAAGTTTATCGGTACATTTTGGTGGAGAAGATGAAAATATTAAAATGGTGGCTCCTGCTGCTTCTCCCTAACTGTTTAGTAAAGGAGCTGTCTTTAGCCAAAGGCCGGTAATTAATAATAATTTCAAAGTACCCTCCTCCCCCATCTCGTTTGTATATATATTCTCTCTTGGGTCTGGAGAGAGCATGCGAATTTGCTAACATGATCTCTTCAATCCCAAAGTACTGCAATAAATTGCCTGCTACTAAACTGTTGTCACATCACTTTATCAGCTCATATTTTTCAAGCATCTTCCTGAAAGATGAAATCTCGCTAAAATCTAAACCTTGGCCCAGACTGCACATTGCCGGAATTTTATTTACTCCGCTGCCAATTTTCAGTGGAAGTGATAAGCAGAGGAGAGCATAAATAATTGAAAATCTTGGCCAATACGAGTAATTACAATATTTTTATCCTGCAAAACCAGTATTAGTATTTTTACTTTTCTCCCTTTCCTTGCTGTAGCTACTGAGCTTTTAGCATGTCTACTCTCTTGGCTAAAGAAGTTTGTACAACACAAACGGCTGCTTAGTGAAAATTACAGAATGTTGTTAGTTGGTTCTGAAAGTATATTCATTGATGTCCACCTAATGGCCAGGTTCAGAGGAAGAGAATAAACAAAGCCAGAAATATATATAGTCTTGTCTCCAATTTTTAAAAGTTACATATAGTTAGGGGGGAAAAATGTGTTGGCTGTGTTCCCTTTAAGAGTGAAATTCCAAACTTTATGGGTGGAAAATACCAATCTTTCTATTGGCGCGTGGAACCTAAGAAGATTCATTTGATATGAATCACGAGAAGGAATATATCTGCTGAGATGGACTCCCATGATCAACCAAGGGCCCACATTTTACAAGTAATAAGAGCTGAGTCACTGTTTGCTGGCAGGGGCTTCTCGTGTGCTCTAAATACCAAGCAGAGCTTCCAGCACTAGGCTCTACTTGTTTATGTCTTTCTAGTCAACTGTGAGGGAGCTCCTAAGACCTGCCCTATCCAATCAGAACTGTCCCGTGGTGACCAATCAATCAGGACTGGAAGGGTGTGATTATAAAGGAGCATGATAAAACTTTAGTACTTGATGGATATGTTCACTATCTTGATTGTGGTAATATCTACATAAAAACTTATCAAATTGCACATTTTAGCCGAAACCGGTTTGGCTCAGTAGATAGAGCGCCAGCCTGGGGAATGAAGGGTCCCAGGTTTGATTCAGGTCAAAGGCATGTACCTTATTTGTGGAAACATCCCCAATAGGGGGTGTGCAGGAGGCAGCTGATTGATGTTTCTCTCTCATCAATATTTTTAACTCTCTCCCTCTCCCTTCCTCTCTAAAAAAATCAATAAAAATATTTTTAAAAATAAGGAAATTGAAGAATATTAAAAAATAAATAAAATCAAATGAATAAAAAATCTGATGAATAGAATAAACAGGTGAATATAATAGAAAGGGAGTGGACTGACAATTCTGGGTAAGGGAAGTGGTGTGGGGGGTGTGGGAAGAGACTGGACAAAAATTGTATACCTATGGATGAGGACAGTGGGGGGTAAAGGAAAAGGGTGGGGTGGAAACTGGGTGGAGGGGAGCAATGGGGGGAAAAAAGGAACAATTGTAATAATCTGAACAATAAAGATTTATTAAACTTTTTTTTGATGAGATGCCAACCTTTAAAAATATGACAACTTACAGAGAAATCTGGATATCCAGCTTCTTCTGACAAAATGTAAAGCTCTGGAAATACTTGCCTGATTTTTTTTTTTTTAAAGGCTGAAGTGAGCAGAGGCTGTCCTTAACAATGCTCATCTGTTCACCGAACGCCGCTTCAGGCTAGCACACTCATGGGGTTTTCTTCTGAGACACAATAGCCATTAGAGTTTGCAATATCTGGTAGAAAAACTCTGGAGGTTCATATAGGAAGTAAGGTTGAGGTCAGAGACACAGGCCAGGGGTACCCTAATGGGGAGTTTGTATTTCAGTCAATGGTCAAAAGGAAGACTGAACAGTGTTTGCTTAGTTACTACCATTGTGTAACAAATAATCCCAAAACTTAGTGGCTTAAGACAACAATCGTTTATTTAGGTCATAATTTTGTGAATGGGCAGTTTTAAAAAACAAAATATTTTTATTGATTTCAGAGAGGAAAGGGAGAGAGAGAAACATCATTGATGAGAATCAGATTGGCTGCCTCCTGCATACCCCCTACCCGGATCTGCAACCTGGGCATGCTTCCTCTACCGGAATTGAACCCAGGACCCTTCAATCTGCATGTCAATGCTCTAGCCACTGAGCCAAACTGGTGAGGGCTAAAGGGACAGTTTGGTCTGGTTTAGCTGTGTGGTTCTTCTGGTGTTGACTGGCCTCACTCATGTGACTGGGCCAACTGGGTTCGGTTGTCCCTGTTTTATGGGTCTCTTATTCTCCAGCACAGTACCCCAGTTCATGTCTGGGTAGGGTTCCAGGAGAGGCAGTGGAAATGTATAAGGCCTCTGGAAGCCTTGGCTTGGAATGGGCACACCATCACTTCTGCATTTTATTGGTCAAAGCCACTCACAATACCAGCCTAGATTCAAGTAGTGGAGAAGTAGGTTTTATTTTTCCCCCCTTTCAAAGAATCATTTTATGTGGAAAGTTTTAAGCATATTCAGAAGAGTTCATGAACCACTATGTACCCATCATCCAGAATCAATAGTTAGCAACTCATGGCTAATCTTATTTTACTTTTTTCTTTAACAATAATTATTTCCCTTTCCCACCTGGATTATTTAAAATTAAACCCCAAATATATCATTGCATCATCTATAAATCTTTCAGTTTGTAAGAGAGAGTATTTCTTTTCAATTGAAATATAATTGACATACCATGACATATTAGTTTCATGTGTAGATTCCATTTTGCCATGGGAGAAGCTGCAAAGTCACAGTGCTAAGATGTGTCCATACAGAGAGAGATAAAATGTCTCCCTCTGTATGTGAAACAACTATCACAGTTATCAGAGACATATTTTTGAAAGTATCGTTTAGAGGGGGATGTGCTCTGCATGACTGGACTGTTTTCTCTTTGTAACAGAGAAGTGCTGCCTCCCTAAACCCATAAATAACTTCATGCTGAAGATAGGAGAGAGAAAGATGCCCAGCTTTCGCCTCTTCCAGTTTCTTATCCAGGGGACTCCTTAGTTTCAGTTTCAGTCCACAACTTTGCCAAAGATATTCAGTTTGTCTGAGATTTCTGTGAATAAATGAGCAGAAAGTTAGACGATGTTTCTACACTGCACAACAGTGTATGAACTGCACTCCCTTTGGCCTGGCTGGGTGGAGCCTAAACCACCATCTGCATTCATGCCTTAGCGATCTGATGTTCCTTCTTATTTGGTCAACTTCTCAAATACAAGTAGCTTCTCAAATACAAAGAAGGGATAAACTCGCATCTTAGTGCGAATTAGTCTCAGTTTTAGATTCTCTAATACCAGGGTGACCCTGAGTTGCAAGGGAGCCTAGAAGAGGGAAGAAGGAAAGAAGAAAGGGGAATGGAGGGAAGGGGAAAAGAAGGGAGAAGAGAGAGAGAGAGAATATGAATATGAATATGAATATAATATAGTGACTATAGGCTGGAATAATCTACCTCCCCAACCCACTTTAGACTAAACATCATCCCTTAACACAGGGTTTCTGAAATCCGGTAGTATTGATATTTGGGCTATAGAATTCTTTGTTGTAGGAGGCTGTCCTGTGCACTGTAGGATATTGAGTAGCATCTATCTACTAGATGCCAGTAGTATGACCTACCCCACCCATCTTCCCTGAGTTGTGACAAGCAAAAATGTCTCTAGACATTACCAAATTCCCCCGAGGGACAAAAATCACCCCTGCTTGTGAACCATAAAGGAAATCTTTCACAAATGTGAACCAACACATGTGACTCATATTCTTCAGATCAGAGAGGACCTTACCCTTAACAGAAGGCCGCCCAGAGGGCTCGTAAGCCCTGCAACTATCAATGATCTCCCGCAATTGTGGAGGGCAATCTTCACCCAGTGGCTCCTGGTACTGGTCCTTAACCACCAGCTGGCAGATCTTTTTAGAATCATAGCCTGGCACAGAAACAAGAGGACGAGAGGCTTAAATATTGTCCTGGCATATCTCTCTGGATGATGATTGCTGGCATCAGACGTAGGGACTTTAAAGTACTGAAGAAACAAGAGCTTCCAATGACTTCACTGACCAGCCCAGGCAGTGCCCACATCGGAGAACAAAGCACCAGGTCAGCACTGATGGGGAATTTCTAGTCCTTTGGAAAGGGCCCCATTCCCAGCCCCCTCTGAGCCAACCTTCACCCTGGTTACCTTCAAACGGGATCTTCCCAGTGATGATTTCCCAGAGGACAATTCCAAAGCTGAAAGAAAACCAAGAAGTTGAACAATCGGAATGTTTCAGTTTTCCCACACCTCTTAGCCATTTCTAGAAACTTAAGTGAATTTTTTTGATTCTCGCCCAATTCCATTCAATAGAGTAGAGGTATGATGATGGTGTTTGGATGTGGAGTTTGACTTGGGCTTTCTATTCTGTTTATTTGAGTGAGAGTCTGAGCAATAACATGAACATACCTGTATATTTCAGCTTTTATGTCATATTTAATATACACATTTTCCAGTGTTTGAGGTGAGAAATAGGCTGCGGAATTGACTCTCTCTTCTTTTTTCTCCCTCTTAGTTGTTCTGCCAATGGAAGTCTGTGTTTCGCTCAACTTAAATCCTGAAAGCTAGCCAGAAAGATGAATTAGAGATAGAAAGAAACAACAGGATCTTGGGTTGGCAGTAGTGGGCAGGGGCTTGGCGCTACACATGATTACCAGGGATAGTCTTTTACCTTTGAAATGTATTTCCAGTGGTGTCTTCTCTTTGTGTGGCCACCGTACTGGCTGGCATTATGGGTTTAATTTATTATGGTGTGTTAACTAAGAGAAACAAAGAGGTTTCTTCTCTATAAAATGGGGCAATGAGGATTACCTGAGATCCTATCTAATAAAAGAGTAATATGCAGATTGACCATCACTACAACACACAAGATGGCCATTCCATATGGTCAAAGATGGACGCCCCCATGTGGACACAAGATGGCCACCACAAGATGGCTGGGGGGGGGGGCAGTTGGGGGCGACCAGACCTGCTAGGGAGGGCAGTTAGGGGAGACCAGGCTGGCAGAGGAGGGCAGTTGGGGGCAATCAGGCTTCCAGGGGAGGACAGTTTTGGGGGGACCCAGGCCTGCAGGGGAGGGCATTTGGGGGGAAACCAGGTCTGCAGGGGAGGGCAGTTGGGGGGACCAGGCCTAAAGAGGAGGGCAGTTGGGGGGAACCAGGCCAGCAGGGGAGAGCAATTGGCGGGGACCAGGCCAACAGGGAGGGCAGTTAGGGGTTACTGGGCCAGCAGGAGAGGGCAGTTGGGGATGACCAGTCCGGCAGGGGAGGGTAGTTAGGGGCAATTGGGCCAGCAGGGGAGCAGTTAGGTGTTGATCAGGCTGGCAGGGGAGTGGAAGGGGCAAACAGGCAGGCAGGCAGGCAGGTGAGTGGTTGGGAGCCAGCAGTCCTGGATTGTGAGATAGATGTCCAACTGCTAAGCAGGTGGTGAGTGAAGACAGGCATCCTAACAGCACACGGAAAGCTGTCCAGCAGGGAAAGAGTTTTGAGTTCAGTTCTAAGATTAAGGCAGAGAAGCGAGCAGGCACAGCCTTTCTGGGAAACAGGAGTCCCTCTCCCAGCACCAAACAGTCACAAAGGTTGAATACAAAGAGCCCCCTAGAAGGCCACGCTCACCTTCACTTGGTAGCCTTTATTTACTAGGAAGCTCCTGCTGCTGATGTTTTTGTGGAGTTCAGGGGGTTCAGAATGGTGCAGCCTGTCGTGACCAAAGGCAGGGAGCGTTAGTGACCTTGGCAAGACCTTTCTGGGGGGGGCTCGAGACTTATTATTGGAACAAGGAGGCTGGTCAGCGCATTGCCTCTCCCCCTTGTATCTCAGTTGTGGGGCTCAATCCCTGGTCAGGCAAGTGCTGGAGGCAACCAATTGATGTGTCACTTTCACATTGATGTTTCTCTCTCTCTGTCTCTCCCCCTCCCACTTTTCCTAAAAATCAATGGAAAAATATCCTCGGGTAAGGATTAACAACAACAAAAACATAAGGAAGGGGAGATTATCTTGGGCTTCTGGCTAGTTCTCTCATCTCTGGGATTAACATTTGGGGAGGAAGACTCATTCTGTTCTTCTGAGCATCCTTTCAACCCATATGGTACCTGCATAAGCCTTTGGCTGCCTCCCTGGCCAGGAGAATGCGGTCAGCCAATGTGAGGTCCTTTTTCTTATCCAGCAGTTCCCTCAAGGTCCCGAGATCACAGTATTCCATGACAATGGAGAATTGAGGTGGGGTCACTGATGGAAAGAAGATCAGCTTCACTCAGAGGTTCTGCTCTGCAGCCTGTCTCCCGCTATCTCTACAGATGCAGACTCAGCACTGCACTACTTCTCCCCTCCTCTAACCCGCTCTCACAGTTTGCATCCTGACCTCATTGAATGGGTCAAATACCCACAGAATTCCCATACCCCTTCTTTCTAGTATTTGGCATGTAGGAATTATACATGTCGGAGTTATTTGAGTAATGTCTCCCCCACTCAAGTTTAAGCCCCAGGGGGCAGGGTCTGCTTTGTTCACATCCCCAGATGCAAGAACCAATACTCAAAGAATGAATCAGTCACCTCAGCCATCCCCCAGGAGACCAAATATCACTGGAAAGTTTTCCTTTAGTTGAGGGAAGCTGTGTCCCCTCTGTAGGCAAGAGCAACAATGCATAACCCACAGGAGAGGCCATGCTATGAGGGAAAATGCAGCCCCATTAAAAAATGAAAATGAAAATGAAAAAGAATCTGATGCATGAAGCTCTTGGTTAAGGGGCAGGTTAATTGAGTCTTGGGGTTTGATCTACCCTAATGAGGATCCAGGGTAGATTCCTTAAACTGATCAGTCAGCTTTATAATGTTTTATTGCAACAAAATGCTTCCATCATTCAGGCCAATATCTGAACAAGATCTCCAGTAGCCTGGGAGAAGAGGATGTGGCCACGTTAGTGTAAATCAGCCCTCAGGCTTAAGCCAAATTCAAGCCCTTGTTTCCTGGAAGGATATGGGAACCTGCATCTTGGGATGCAGAAAAACTAACATTGATCATAACAACACTGTGTAGATCCCACCCTTTCAGCTCTTCTTTAAAAATGCAATGCATTGTAAGATATAGGACAGACCACCAAAAGAAGGACCAACCCCAGAAGCACTCCTTACCTGTTTCATCAATGCAAATCCCATATATATGCAGGATGTTAGGAGAATCAAATTTCTTCATGGTCATGGCCTCATTTTTGAAAACACGCCTCACTATGCTATGAGGATGAAGGGGACAATTAAGATTTCAAGATGGGAGGGTCCCTCTGAGAACATTTAGTGTAGGGACCATCTGTGCATGTGTGGGGGATTGTCAGCATCCTGGGGTGAGATGAGCTTGGCCACTGATGGCAGTGTTTAGCAGCAGAATTAGCATGCACGATACAGGCTACAACATAGATTTACCTTGAAAATATCATGCTAAATGAAAGAAGCCAAACACAAAAGGCCACATATCGTATCATTCCATGTGTGCAATATCCGGAACATACAAATTCATAGAGACAGAAAGTAGATTAATAGGTGTCTAGGGCTAGAGATGGTGTGGGTAGCAGTATATAGGGAGTAACTGCTAAAGGGTATAGGGTTTCCTTGAGGGATGATGCAAATGTCCTAAAATCACTTTATGGCAAGGGTTGTACAACTCTGTACATTAAAAGCGATTAAGTTATACACTTTAAATGGGTGAATCTTATGGTATGTAAATGATGTTCCAATAAAATTGTTAAAAATACTACCCCAGCCAAAACCGGTTTGGCTCAATGGATAGAGTGTTGGCCTGCGGACTGAAGGGTCCCGGGTTCGATTCTGGTCAAGGGCATGTACCTGGGTTGCGGGCACATCCCCAGTAGGGGGTGTGTAGGAGGCAGCTGATCGATGTTTCTCTCTCATCGATGTTTCTAACTCTCTATCCCTCTCCCTTCCTCTCTGTAAAAAAATCAATAAAATATATTTAAAAAATACTATCCCAATCAAAATCTTAATGGGTATGTTGAGGAAGGTGATATTTATTTAGATTAGTAAACCTGAGAAAGAAGAGCCAAGATGGAAGGAGTTACATTACTAGACACTCAGAATTACTATTCAACTAAAATTTGCTGCTAGCTTATACAACTAAATAAAAGGAAGATGAATGATCCAATTAAAAAATGGGCAATGGGCCGGGACCGGTTTGGCTCAGTGGATGGAGCGTCGGCCTGCGGACTGAAAGGTCCCGGGTTCGATTCCGGACAAGGGCATGTACCTTGGTTGTGGGCACATCCCCAGTGGGGGGTGTACAGGAGGCAGCTGATCGATGATTCTCTCTCATCGATGTTTCTAACTCTCTATCCCTCTCTCTTCCTCTCTGTGAAAAATCAATAAAATATATATTAAAAAAAAAAAAAAAAAAGGGCAATGGACCTAAATAGAATATTTTCAAAAGAAGACAGAAGGAAGGCCAAGAGGCACATGAAAACATGCTCAAAGTCAATAATTATCCGAGAGATGCAAATCAAAACAACTATGCGGTACCATCTCACACCTGTCAGAATGACCAACATCAACAAATCAACAAACAACAAGTGTTGGCGAGGATGTGGAGAAAAAGGAACCCTCGTGCACTGCTGGTGGGAATGCAGACTGGTGCAACCACTGTGGAGAACAGTATGGAGTTTCCTCAAAAAACTGAAAATGGAACTCCCATTTGACCCAGTAATCCCACTTCTAGGAATATATCCCAAGAAACCAGAAACACCAATTAAAAAGGATATATGCACCTCTATGTTCATAGCAGCACAATCTACAATAGCTAGAATTTGGAAACAGCCTAGGTGCCCATCAGCAGATGATTGGATCAAAAAACTATGATACATCTACACAATGGAATACTATGCTGCCATAAAAAAAGAAGGAATTCTCATCATTTGCAGCAACCTGGATGGAATTGGAGAACACTATGCTGCGTGAAATAAGCCAGTCAATGAAAGAGAAACACCACATGACCTCACTCATTTATGGATAATAAAGAACAGTATAAACTGATGAACCAAAGGATAGATATAGAGACAGTAAAGCAACAAGCAGACTGTCAAATTACAGTGGGGAGGGTAGGGAGATCGGGGGGAGATAACAGATCAACCGAAGGACTTGTATACATGCATATAAGTACAACCAATGGACACAAAACTCTGGGGTGGGAGGATATGAATGGGAGGGGGGGGTGAATGGTAAGATATGTACACAGATAATAATTTAATAATAAAAAAATAAAAATCAAATAAAATTTGCTGCTAAATAAGTGAATAAAAAGAAATTCTACTCTTTTGCAAAAAATCATTAAAAAAAAAAAAAAAGAGCCGAAGCTGGTTTGGCTCAGTGGTAGAGCGTCGGTCTGCAGACTGAAAGGTCCCAGGTTCGATTCCAGTCAAGGGCATGTACATTGGTTGCAGGCACATCCCCAGTAGGGGATGTGCAAGAGGCAGCTGGTCGATGTTTCTCTCATCTACGTTTCTAGCTCTCTATTTCTCTCCTTTCCTCTCTGTAAAAAATCAATAAAATATATTTAAAAAAAAAAAAAAAAGAGTAGAGGGCAAGTCATTTCAGCCTTTGGGGCCCCATTCTCCCACCTAATGGATACAATACGCCTCTCTCCTCGGGGAGTTATAGAGAGGAAGTGAAATGGTACATGAGAGAACTATACAAAAGGACTTACTTAGGGTTTCTGCTCTGGACATTGTTGAATACTTTTATGGCCACTGTAGATTCGAAATATTTTCCTTCAAAAACTTCACTGAATTCGTTTTTCTTTAGCGAGTCCAAAACTGAAATCTCCTCCTTATTAATTTCCTTGACTTCATACGTTAGGATCGCCTTCCTTGACTTCTCTATGCCTGACCGTAGGACAGAAGGAAATAAAGAGTCAATGAGCTGAGGAAGGTATCCTAAGGGAAGAGGTGTCTCTGTAAACTTGTAAGTGGGAAGCCTCATGCCATGACGCAAAGCTGGCCTTGGCAGGACCTCCTGACTCTTCCAGAGCCTCTGAGTGAGCAGTAGAGACACAGCTGGATGATTAACAAAAATGTGTCATGCACTTCCTTCCCCTCCTCTTCAAGTCCTGTCTGTCTCTCCAGCTTAAACCTCCATCTCAATCCATCTCTCTCATTTTGGAGGCCTTCTACTCCTACTGCCACTTGAGCTCAGCATTTGAACGTTTGGCATCTTGTTTAGTCATTTCAGCTCTAACAGTGAGATATATAGTTCAAGCTGAGTGACTCCACTGCTGGCATGTGTTCACACGACTCTCTCTCCTCTCCCTCCCTCCTACCCGGTGGCTGTGAGCTCCCCTAAGACAGGAGCTTTCTCTGCATCGGACTTGGCTCTATGTTCAAGGCTCTGAAAGCAGTTACAGATTGGTTAAATGAGTGATGAAAGAGTATTTCCAATTTGATTCGAATTTGTTCTTGGAAATTCAGCAAAAAGAAGCTTCGATATCAATAGATCCTCCCTTCCTCCAACTGATGGACGGAGTATGATGTAAACTGCACCTGCAGCCCGGACATTCCTGAGCATCTAACCAGGCACCTTATATGGACTGTACATTGAACCACCAATCAGCACCTGCCAAATACCCTAAGCCCCCAATTCCTAAGCCCCTAAGTGACTAGTCATGTGCCTTATATGAAACCACCAATCAGTGTGTGCCGAGTACCCTAAGCCCCATCCCTTCCCTTTCTTCCCCTCAAAAGGCATGTTCACCCCTGCACATGTGCTCTCTTCCTTTGCAAGGCAGCCCGGCAGGGATCCTTCTTCTCAGATAAAGTCTGTAGTCCTGGTCTTCGGCCCTCTATCTAGAGCAGTGGTCAGCAAACTCATTAGTCAACAGAGCCAAATATCAACAGTACAACAATTGAAATTTCTTTTGAGAACCAAATTTTTAAAACTTAAATTTCTTCTAATGTCATTTCTTCAAAAGAGACTCGCCCAGGCCACGGTATTTTGTGGAAGAGCCACACGCAAGGGGCCAAAGAGCCGCATATGGCTCATGAGCCGTAGTTTGCTGATCACGGATCTAAAGGAATTTGTCAGCGCTTAGACTAGAATTAGAAGGTATCTCGTGGGCCAAGAATTACTTCAAATGCTACGCCACGGACAGAAGCCTGGGCTAAGTTAGGAGCACATCCGCAAACCTGTGGGCTGTTCCCAACCATCCAACGTAGAAAATGGACAGTGGTGGGGTTGCGGAAGACTGGAGTTCCTACTGAACAAATGACTTCTGGCTTGGGGGCAGTCAGAAGCAGCAGGTCTCAGGTAACTCACAGTGCTTAACGATTCTTCCCACTTCATTTTTCACTTGCTCCACTGAAGATTCAATAAGTTCACTTTCTGCAGAAAAAAAAAAAAAGAGTAACAAATATTAAAAAAATAGAAATGTGAATTAAAAGCACACCGAGGTCCCATTTTCTCTAACTTAATCATATTCATTGCAGTAGGGATTACTACTACTGCTCGAGAATATTCACCTTTCTACATCTAAGCACACAGTAACTGCCTAGAAGCATGGCCGTGTCACTCGCTTTGACCAAGAAATGAAGTGAAAGAAATGAAAGAAGGAAGTTTGTGTCAACGTGTAAGTGCCGTAAACTTGAAAGTTCCTGGAAAGGACAGCTACCTCGGAGTCTCCTGGATGTTGCTTAAATAAGAAATAAAGTTTTCTTTATCTGAGTTGTTGTTTTCTTTACACTGTAGCATATTCTCATCTATCCTTATTTATATAATCAGAAATACATTTAAAAATTGATAGGACCTTCAGTGTTAAAACTAATGAAGAAAAGTGTGGAGAAACACAATCTCATACATTGTTGGTAGGAATGATATTGATATAACTTCTGTGGAGGGCAATCTGGCAATCTCTATCAAAATTTTGAGTGCCAGGGCGAGGGGAGGAGGCTGGGGACATCAGTTAAAAAAAAAAAAAAAGTAAAGTGCTCATACTCTTTGACTCACATATAGGAATTGTTCCTAAAGAACTCCTCAAATATATATGAAGATGCTTAAGGCAGGACTATTTACAATTGTGGAAAACTGGGCACAACTCAAATGCCCATCAATAGGGAGTTGTTTAAATATATATGGCCCATGTATACACCAAGGAATCCGAGGCAACTCTATGGAAATGAATATGGACGGATATTCAAGATTTAATGAGAAAAGCAAGAAGCAGAACAGTGTATTTAGGATGCTACTGATTGTATAACAATGACAAAAAAAATCTATATTCTTAAATATCTGAAGGCTATTCAACACACAGGTGATGGAGATCATGTCTGGGGAGGAAACAGTTCCTTTGAGGTCAAGAGTAAGGAGGAGATTTACTTCTCATGCTGGGCCCTTTTGGCGCCTTGTGAACGTATCACTTGATAAAACAGAAAGAAATCCTGTCCTCCAAGTTGATGACACTAACATGCCCCCTCGCCCCCCGGAAGTGGACCGATGAGTGCTGAAGATTAGGAAGGCTGCCCTGCACACACCTCTCTCCCCTGGCCCCCAACCCCCGATTCTCTTTCTCTTTGTTGGGTGTTTGGTTGGAGGATTACAGATGCCTCACTTTCCCTCGTCCAGAAAAGAACCCACAGGTCTTCTCTAGGCATGGTTTGTCTCGTTGAGTGTCTCCTGCAGACCTGATTGGGGATGGACCACCTTCCACATCAAGGTGACAGAACAGTGATTTTGCTGGGCTCCAGCGCCCAGAAGGTTCATTCAAATGTCCTTTACCCTCTCCTCAATTCCTCTCTCTCCACCCACAATCCTTACAAAAGGGAAGAGTTTAGAATTCCTATCACCAGGGTCTGCAAAGGGGTAAAGAGGCCACATTTGTTTCCATCTTTCCACTCTGTTCCCTCTTCTGGCGGCCCTGGCTCCATTGTCACTCCCTATTCTAACCTAGTCCATGTTTCATCCCCTCGGAGCCTTGTCCTCCACTAAATCCACCAAGTTCAAGGGTCACTCTAGTTCAAGCCACTGTCATCTGTTACCTAGTCTCAAAGTGGCTCACATTTACGCTCTTGTCTTCTGGGGTTTGTTGAATTATTGGTTCCAATTCTTGACTCCTATGTAATGGTCTTATACATCCACACCACTATAGCTTCATAGTGGGCACACTATATTTCCCTGACCATCACCCTTCATGTTGGGCTTGGCTTTATCAATGGTTTAGAATATTAGCAGACACAAGTAGAGGTTTGAAAGGTACTGGTACTACTGAGTTTTCCTTCTTGCAATTCTGCCATAAGAACATTCTCCAAGTACTCACTGTTCCTACAACCTTGGCTCCAGAATGAGACATGTTAAACAGACACAAATTAGACCTGTTGCTTGGAGCCCAGTCCAGCCAAAGCCCCTGAGATCATAAGAATCTGAATGGACCCACAAATCTATGAGCAGGAGAACTTAAAAAAAAAATGATTTTTTTACAGAGGAAGAGAAAGGGTTAGAGAATTAGAAACATCGATGAGAGGGGAATACAGATCATCTGCCTCCTGCACACCCCCTACTGGAGATATGACTGCAACCAAGGTACATGCCCCTGATTATAATCGAACCCAGGACCCTTCAGTCCCCAGGCCGACACTATTCACTGAGCCAAACTGGTCAGGGCATGTGAGCAGGAGAATTAATGACTATTGTTTCAAGCCTGAGTTTTGGGATGGCTTGTCATGCAGTATTAGTATAGCAACTGACTAATACATATTATTACAGTCCATTGCCACCTGGCAGCCCAAGTGATGTTTTTTAATACAAGTCAAATCATGACAGGCCCACATTTAAGACCTCCCTTTCCTGGCTCCTATGACTCAGAATATAATCTACATTTCTTTTCATGCCTTCATGGCCCTGCATGACCTTGCTCCTGTATCTTCTGGCCAACTTCTCCACATCCATCTCATACTACTCTCTCTTCCAAGTCTACCCCACCAAAGCCATCCTGCCTTCTGGTTGTTCCTTGCTCTTGCCTCATTCATTCCCCATCTCAGGGCCTTTGCATCTCCTGCTTTCTTGACTGGGAGTGCTCCTCTCTCATCTTTCTATGGCTCGCTCCTTCTCAAGGTGTCCCTTCCAACGCCACCCGTCAGAGAGGCCTTCCCTGAACAATTAGTCTGCACCCGCTGTCACTTTCTACTTCGTTGCCCTGCTTATTGGCCTCCATTGCTTTTGTTTTTTATTTTATAAAAAATATATTTTATTTATTTTTAACAGAGAGAAAGGGAGAGAGCTAGAGAGCTAGAAACGTCGATGAGAGAGAAACATCGACCAGCTGCCTCTTGCACAACCCCTACCAGGGATGTGCCCACAACCAAGGTACATGCCCTCGACCGGAATCGAACCTGGGACCTTTCAGTCCGCAGACCGACGCTCTACCACTGAGCCAAACCGGCTTCGGCAATTGCTTTTAGATAAAATGACTTAGTCCTCTGTCCGCAGACTTTATGTTCCAAGAGGGCAGGGATTTTGTCTGTGTTTCTCTGTGTCGTGTCTCAAACACTTAGAACACTAACATACAGTAGGTACAGTCGTGTGCCTCATAATGACATTGAGGTGGTCCATAAAATTACAATGAAGCTGAAAAATTCCTTCCACCTAGTGATGTACTTGTGTGTTTTCTTAGGTGTTCACAGTGATTACTTATGTGTTTGTGGTGATGCTGGTCTAAGCAAACCTACTACCCTGCCAGTCATATAAAAGTATAGCACATACAATTATGTACGGTACATAATACTTGATAATAAGTGATTAGGTTACTGATTTATGTATTTACTATACTATGCTTTTTATTGTAATTTTAGAGTATGCTCTTTCTACAGATAAAAAACGTTTACTGTAAAACTGTATGCCATATTATACCAGCAGCAACCTTATATCTCATGTTTACGCTGTCTCCTGATTGCAACATATTCTCTTGACTTAATATTTTATTGGTTTGTACAGTCGAATGTTGTACAGACTTGTGGCCTAAGAGCAATAGGCTAAACCATATAGCCCAGGTGTGTAGTGGGCTAGACCTGTGGTCAGTAAACTGCGACTCGAGAGCCACATGCGGTTCGAGAGCCACATGTGGCTCTTTGGCCCCTTGAATTTTTAGCAAAGGCCAGCTTAGGAGCACCCTAATTAAGTTAATAACAATGTACCCACCTATATAGTCTAAGTTTAAAAAATTTGGCTCCCAAAAGAAATTTCGATCGTTGTACTGTTGATATTTGGCTCTGTTGACGAATGAGTTTGCCGACCACGACGCTAGACAATCTAGGTTTGTGTAAGTGCCCTCTGATGTTCCCACATTGTTGAAATCGCCGAACGGCACATTTCTTAGAATGTCTCCCTGCCATTAAGTGGCACACGACCACACTCAATTCGTGTTTGCTTAGTCAATTTGTTAATTCTCCCTCCTGGTAATTTACACATTAACAGAAGGTCTTGGAAAAACGAAGTCTGGAAGGAATTAGATTCTGGAATTCTAGGCATCACATCAAAGAGAGGATGAAGAGGCAAAGAAGACATTTGTATCAACACCCCCCACCCTCTTTCCTCCTCCGGCTTGCCCCAATTTCACCGGCTCCCACCCTATGTGGGCCCATGGACGTGAGGCGTTCTGAGTCACATTGAATGACACCCGCTCAAACCTCTCCCGCCTTCCTGCTCCTCTGGTGAATCAAAACGAGTCTAAAATGCTCCCATTGACTCCCCAGGACACAGTGAGCCTTACCGGTTTGGAAGACCCGCCAGTCTTCCTCTGCATCCTGCTGATCTTCCTGCTCCCAGGCTTCTTTGCTGGTGCTGGAAACAGACACCCACTGGTGCACCTGGAGCGCCAGCGAGAGCTCCTGGTAGACATCGTTCAGCCGACTGTTCACGTCTGCGAAGAGTTCTTTGTTCTTCCCCGAGGTTAGAAACTTACAGAGATTGGACTTATCGCTGAACTTATCTATCTTCCTCTGAGCTTCCTGGAGGGCAGCCTGGAAGTTGGCCAGGGCAGCGAGGATCTCCGGGGACAGGTGCCCCGCTCCCTGGGCCTGGAGCTTTTTCAGAGGCTGCAGCAGGCCGTGGATGCGCCTCCTCAGACGCTTACACTGTCCCTTGCAGTGCCGCATCATCTCACATTGTTTGTACACACTCTGGCCTAAGGTGATGACGGTCCCCAGTTTATCCATACCTGGAAGAAACTGATGACATTTGTTAAAGTCCCAGAATTGCCGAGACCGGTTTGGTTCAGTGGATAGAGCGTCGGCCTGTGGACTGCAAGGTTCCAGGTTCCATTCCGGTCAAGGGCATGTACCTTGGTTGCGGGCACATCCCCGGTGGGGAGTGTGCAGGAGGCAGCTGATCCGATGTTTCTCTCTCGTTGATGTTTCTGACTCTCTGTCCCTCTCTCTTCCTCTATGTAAAAAAAATCAATAAAATATATATATTAAAGTCCCAGAATTGCCTGCATGTTTACTACTGGGCTACAGGAACCTCCAGGGTGTCTGCGATTTAAATGGCTGAAGAATTCTCTTCACAAGGTAGAGATGGTTTGATGTCCACCGAAATCTGTTCTGCCCTCTCCCATCATAACAGAGCTGTGGCTGGGAAGTGTCGGCTCACCCAGGACTCTCTCTCCCAGTCTTCCTTGAGGCTTGATGTGGCCATAGACTAGTTCTCCCCAATGGGGTGTGAGTGGATCTGATATGTGCTACTTTGGGCTGAGGCAGGTTTGTCTCCTCTACACACTATCAGCTGGATGCACAGGACGGCACAGCCCTAGGGGTGTTGGAGTCCCAAGAAGGAAGGTGGAGTCGCAAGAAGGAAGAATCCTAGATCTCTGATGCATCACTTGGAGGAGGGCTGCTCACAGACCTGGACCATCTGCCACGGACTGTTAAGTGAATGAGGAATAAACTTCTCTTGTGTTTGGGCCATTGTATTTTGGGGTCTGGTCATGATATCAGTTGAGCCTATTCTAACAAAAATATCCTGCCAAAGTATAGGGGTGACGATACGATGGTGGGTTGGAAAGCTCAGGCCCTGTCTAAAGAAGGCAAGGGTTAGCCAGCAAGGATGAATGGTCTAGGGGTGGAAGATCAGATCTTCCAGTTTTGAAAGAGCAGTCAGAAATCTGGATTCTTATGTTAAATCTCTCAATGTAAAATCTTACAACAAGCCCTGGCCATGTAGCTCAATTGGTAAGAGTGTCGTCCCAATACATCAAGTTGCAGGTTCAATCTCCAGGCAGGGGACACACAAGAAGCAACCAATGAATGCATAAATCCATAAAGAAGTGAAACAGCAAATAGATGTTTCTATCTCAAATCAACTTTTAAAAATATAAAATATTGCAACCAAGTAAAAAAATGTCCAACTGTGTGGGTAAAATAAAACATGTCTGTCAACTGGATATTGCCCAGAAAGCCCCAATTTGCAACCTTGGCCCTGAAGTCTACTCCATTTCTCAATTACAAATTTCATGAACTAATGACCTTATTTATTATTTAAACCAGTACTTGTAACTAAAGGCAACTGGTTTCAGTAATGAGTAATGATAATAACCATGGTCATAGATCTCTCTATTCAGTTAGTATATACGAAAAACTTTGGAACCATGAGTTCACTGTTTTATAGTTGGAGATATTTAGGCTCGGGGGAAGTTGCATTTAAATAAGTATAAAACCATGGCAACGGTTTCCAAAGTACTTCTACAGAGTTAGTCTCAGCAGCTCCAGGAAATAGGCGGGACACCTATTATTACCATTTTAAAGATTAGATAACAGTTTGGAGAATTGCATTGGCTTGACACCCACACCTAGCTTTCAAAGGGTGAGTGAAAAACCAGCAGAAGTGAAACCAAGCCAGCAACCAGTTGACACACTTCGGGTTTTTTTTTTTTTTTTTTTTTTTTGCGTTAAAAGTTATACGGACCTGGCAAGGGAGTACCTGGTGCTAAGGCATGTCTAAAAAAACTCAGTGGATTTCATACGCCCCAGTTCCTCCTCTCAGTTGCAAAGCAAGTGCCTTCAAAGCCATTTCTTGGCACCCACGGGGGCAATGGGCTTTCCACTTTCCTCCGGTCCCCTGGAGACTGAACCAGATGTGGAAGTGTTGCTCAAGGAAACTTGCAGATTTCCCTTTCATAGCTTCAAGCTCCAACTGTCCTATTACCAGTTTCATAAAAAAGCCACATCTTGTCAAAACTGATTTGGCTCAATGGATAGATCATCGGCCTGTGGACTCAAGGGCCCCAAGTTCAATTCTGGTCAACGGTTTGGGTGTGCAGGAGGCAGCTGATCGATGTTTCTCTCTATCCCTCTTGCTTCCTCTCTGTAAAAAAATCAATAAAATATATTTTTTTAAAAATAAAGTATATTTAAAAAAAAAGCCACATCTCCACAATAATTAATCAGAAAAGATAATGGGAAGATGCTCCAGTCATAAAAGTGATCATTTAAAACAATACATTTTACAGAAGTGATGACGTGGTATGAAGAAAATCCCACAAAACAAAGCTTTTAAAAAAATGGAGGGAACTATTATCTCTTTGGTTGTGAAGATGAAAAATGACAAACCAGACAATCCTTCCCCAATTTAAAGCAATCCCAGTAAAACTCCCAGTGGTATAGTTTGGTATTGACACGAAATGATCCTAACGTTAATTTCAAAAAGGAAATTAGTAAGGCTAATCAGATTTTTATTTATTTATTTTTTTAAATATATAATATTTTATTGATTTTTTACAGAGAGGAAGGGAGAGAGCTAGAAACTTCGATGAGAGAGAAACATCGACCAGCTGCCTCTTGCACTCCCCCTCCGGGGATGTGCCTGCAACCAACGTACATGCCCTTGACCAGAATCGAATCTGGGACCTTTCAGTCCGCAGACTGACAGCTCTACCACTGAGCCAAACCGGTTTTGGCTAACCAGATTTTTAAAAACAAACAAGAGGGCTTCCCTACAAGATGCAAATCTGTTATAAAATGCAATAATAACTGAAACTGCTTAGGGCTTATGGATCATTGATAAAGATATCAAAAGGATAAGAGGGAATATAAGTATATTTATATTTTTTTCGACTCAACAATGTGAATGTCTAGGAACTTATGCCGTGGAAAAGCTTGTAGGTGTATGGAAAGGTATATACTAAGGCGTTCGTTGCAGTGCTATTTATAATATGTAAAGCTGCTAACACGGAGAGGGAAAATTTACTGGTTTTTAAAAGTAAAAAAAGAAAATCTTTACATGGCATAACAACATAAATCCATAAGTAATCTAGTGGCATTTCCTTTTCTCCATAAAATAAAGTAAAATAAAATAAAATAAAATAAAATAAAATAAAATAAAATAAAATAAAATAAAATAAAATAAAAAGAGGAATCAGACAATCCTTTCCTGATGAGGGCATTATCATTCAGTAGGCTACTTAGGCAATTTATCCCACAGACAGCCCGGAACTCGTCTGTCTAGGGCTTCATGGACGGCTCCTCTGAGCAGGTTCCGAGGCCCCTCCGACCCCCACCCTAATCCCATCCCATCCTACGACCCCCACCCTAACCCCACCCCATCCCACGTCTCCTTGGGCAGCCAGAGACCCGCGCGGGCAGCTCTACCATAGAGTAGGGGGAAATGAAACTAACTCGGTCCTGAGTTCCAGGAAATCGAGCAATGGGGCGCTCCCGGCTCCCTCTCCCCCATTCCATTACTCCCCGATCTCCCCTCCCGGCCCAGGGGTCCCCTGCAGCCCGCTAGCCCCTCCAGGCTGCTGGAGGGGCCTCCCGGACGGCGCCCCGCCAGACTCACCCCTGTCCCTCCCGAAGGCGTGCAGTCTGTCCGGGGCGCCGTCCAGGAGGCCCCTCCCGCCGCGCAGAGGCTGCCGACGCCCAGCGCGGGGCTCTGCAGACGCGAGGCCACCGGGGAATCCGGGCACCTGTGCCCCGTTCCCGCCAGGAGTCTGCGCTCTGCGCTCCCGCCCCCTCGGCGCGCAGCAGGACCGTCTGTCTGTCGCAAAGTCCGGGGTGGGGTTGTGCCCGAACCGCTGGGTCCTGCGCCCTCCAGAGGCCACCGCCCCAGGGCCGGCACGTGGACAGGGAAGTCTCACAGGCCCGGGAGCTTTTCAAGTGGTTCTTGCTGCCCGCGCGGCTCAGGTGCCCTGGGTCCTGGAGCCCGTTCAGAGCGGAGACTCCTCCCTTCCTCCTGCAGGTTCCTCCAGGAGCTCACCGGTCCATTTTGGTCTGGGCACATTCACAGGTTGTGGGCTCAGATCCCCGGAGTGGGTCGTGCAAGAGGCAACCAATCAATGATTCTCTCTCTTCATTGATGTTTCCATCTCTCTCTCCATCTACTTTCCTCTCTGAAATTATATATATACTAAAACCGAAACCGGTTTGGCTCAGTGGATAGATGGCTCAGTGGATAGAGCGTTTACCTGCAGACGGAAGGGTCCCCTGTTGGATTCCGGACAAGGGCATGTACCTTGGTTGCGGGCACATCCCCAGTAGGGGTGTGCAAGAGGCAGCTGATCGATGATTCTCTCTCATCGGTGTTTCTAACTCTATCCCTCTCTTTTCCTCTCTTTGAAACATCAATAAAATATATATTTTAAAAAGATTATATGTATAGTCAACAATAATATGCTGTACATTTAAAGACAGCCCTCGCTGGTTTGGCTCAGTGGATAGAGCATCAGCCTGTGGACTGAAGGGTCCAGGTTCGATCCTAGTCAAGGGCACATGCCCAGGTTGTGGGCAGGAGGCAGACAATGAATGGTTCCTTCTCATCATTGATGTTTCTTTCTCTCTCTCCCTCTCCCTTCCTCTCTGAAATCAATAAAAATATATTTTTAAAAAGAAAGAAAAAGAAAAAAGAATTGCCCTAACCGGTTTGGCTCAATGGATAGAGCATCAGCCTGCAGACTGAAAGGTCCCATGTTCAATTCCAGTCAAGGGCACGTACTGGGTTGTGGGCACATCCCCAGTAGGAGGTGTACAGGAGGCAACTGATCGATGTTTCTCTCTCATCAATGTTTCTAACTCTCTATCTCTCTCCCTTCCTCTCTGTAAAAATAAAATATATATATTTTTAAAAAGACTTATCAAGAAGATAGATCTCATGTTAAGTATTCTTTCCACAATAAAAATAAATAAATAAAAAGGATTATAAGAGAATACAGTGAACTATCTTATGC